CTGTACTTCATTTTTTATTGAATTATTTGTTCTTTTGATGACCAATATCTTGAGTTCTTTGTATATTTTGAAGGTCAGACCTCTATCTGATATGGGGTTAGTGAAGATCTTTTTCCATTCTGTAGGCTGTTTTTTTTTTGTTTGTTTTGTTTTGCTATGTTTTGTTTTGTTGACCATGTCTTTTGCTTTACAGAAGCTTTTCAGTTTCAGGAGGTCACATTTATCAACTGTTTCTCTCAGTGTCTGTGCTATTGGGGTTATATTTAGGAAGTGGTCTCCTGTGCCAATGCGTTCAAGTGTACTTCCCACTTTATCTTCTATGAGGTTCAGTGTGGCTGGCTTTGTGTTAAGGTCTTTGATCCATCTGGACTTGAGTTTTATGTTTTTCTTGTATTAAAAAAATAGATAATTGATATTATATCTTATTTGCTGATATTTTGTTTATCTGTTTCTTTGCTGATAAGTTCTTAGACTTTAGATTCTGGAATAAGGAAGAGGGCCTAGGTTTAACTTATATCACAATGACAATGTTGTTTATCATAAATAAGTATTTAAAACTTGTTGGGGGAGGCTGTTCGTTCATTCCAGCTGCCCAGACCTGAAACAATCACTCAGAAATCATATTATTTGCAATACTGTTTGGCCAATAGCTTAAGCTTATTTCTAGCTAGCTCTTACATCCTAAACTAACCCATCTCCATTAATCAGTGCATCACCACAAGGTTGTGCCTACTGGCAAAGTTTCAGCGGACTCCAGAGGAGGCATCTGTTCCTGGCAGGGCTACATGGCTTCTCCTTTACTCTGCCTTCTTTCTCCCAGCATTTAGTTTAAGTTTCCTGCCTACCTCTATTCTGCCCTATCACAAACCAAAGGAACTTCTTTATTCATTAACCAATAAAAGCAATGCACATACAGAAGGACTTCCCACAGCTAAAACTGGGCATTATTCTTAGGCATGGGGCAATGTTAAGGAGAAAGCCCATGGCATCACACACACTAGGCAAACACTGTATCAGTGAGCAGTGTTGCAAACCAACACTCAATTATTTTATTTTAGACAATGTATCACTCTATAACCCCAAGACAGATTGGAATTTACTATATAATCCACTCTGGCCTTGAACTCGCAATCCTCAAGTTCCCTCTTCAGTGTGGGGATTATAAGAATGCAACACCACACCTGGATTAACACTTACTTGCTGAGGTGATGAGATAAGTTTCCCATGTTAGTAAAAAAAAACAAAAAACAAAAAAAAAACTAGCAATATTATAAGAGCACCTTTAGTACTATATGAGCTTTGTATAATGTTATCACAATGTAGAGGTCAACTCAAAATAGAATACAAAGTACTGGAGTAATGTAAGTAGAATAATAGAGAGAGTAAGGACATGACCAAATTTCAAAGTCATCTTCATCTCTTTCCCCAACTCATTAAAAGTAGTCTAGTACCCACTCTTGTTCCTTCTAGGGCCCAACATATACATGAGGACTTTTGTTTTTTGTTGTTGTTTTTTTTTTAATTTTTTATTGAGAAAAAGAAAAAAAAGTTTCCGCCTCCTCCCAGTCTCCCATTTCCCTCCCCCTCCTCCCACCCTTCTCCCCCTCCTCCCACCCTTCTCCCCCTCCTCCCACCCTTCTCCCCCTCCCCCCACTCCTCTCCCCCTCCCTCTCCAGTCCAAAGAGCAGTCAGGGTTCCCTGCCCTGTGGTAAGTCCTAGGTCCTCCCCTCTCCGTCCATGTCTAGGAAGGTGAACATCCAAACTGGCTAGGCTCCCACAAAGCCAGAACATGAAGTAGGATCAAAACCCCGTGCCATTGTCCTTGGCTTCTCATCAGCCCTCATTGTCCGCCATATTCAGAGAGTCCGGTTTTATCCCATGCTTTTTCAGTCACAGTCCAGCTGGCCTTGGTGAGCTCCCAATAGATCAGCCCCACTGTCTCATTGGGTGGGTGCACCCCTCGTGGTCCTGACTTCCTTGCTCATGTTCTCCCTCCTTCTGCTCCTCATTGGGACCTTGGGAGCTCAGTCTGTTGTGGTGGCGCAGGCCGGTAGGATTTGCTGAAGGAGGCAGAGGCAGGAGGATCACGAGTTCGAGGCCAGCCTGAAAAATTTTTATGGTGATGGATGGAGATAGAGACAGAGACCCACACTGGAGCACAGGACTTTTGTTTTATAGAATTTTGAGTATCTTATATGTATGTATGTATATATGTCTATTTTTCTTCTTCTTTTCAATTGCATGCTGTTCTGTGTGCATGTTCACATGTACTTGTTTGTGCATGCATGTGAGTGTCCCTGGTTGATGGGACTGGGACTGTTCTTCAATTGCTCCTCCAATGTCTTCTTTGAGGAAGGGGTTCTCTCATGCAAACCTAGAGCTCACCAATTCAGATAGTCAGGTTAGCCAGCTGGCTTTAAGAATCTTCTATCTCCACCACCCAGAGCTGGAATTATAGACAGAACACAATTCCCATGTGTCATTCAAATAGTTAAAGTGCCCCAGCCCCTAGAACACATATTTATAGGTCCCACTTATCTCTACTAATTCCGTCAAACAGAGATTGCCATGATTAGCCTTTTCAGTTTATAGCCTACTAGTCTGTTTTAAACAAAGTCTGTACAAGTTTTTTACAGTTGTACTGTTTTTCCAAATAATTTTACTTCTTTTGGGTTCAGCTAACACTGTGTGGAGCTTACTGATAAAGAGGGCCAACTGCATAGTTTTTTAGTTATGATGTCATTTTTTGATGACGAGGTAATATTTTCTCATGGAACTTAGCCATCATTTAGGAGTTTTAACTGAGTGTGTTTATGTGGCTGTGATACAGGTGTGAGTTGTGGTTCATACACGCCAAAGGACAAGTCACTGGATTTGCTTTTCCCCGCTCTACTGTCGACTTCAGGGGCAGAACTTGGGTCTTCGGGCTTGCATCACTAACATTTTTACTTGCTGAGCTGTCTCCTCAGACCCTCACCATAATCCAATCAATCTTCTGCCATTGGGCACTTGAACTATTTGCTATATATTTCATTATTATATATTTGTAGTACCCTCAATATAAATCTTTAAACAAAATCTACTTAAATTCATCACACACTACTCATATATTATTAATAAGGGCTTGTGATTTTTCAATTATAAACATCTTATGATTTCAGCACTTATTGATAAAATTGAGTTGGATCATCATTTGAATATATCCCAGTTCTAAACATTTGAGTTCTATACATGTTAGAGTGGTAATAACTGGGTGAGATTATTTTCAACACTCAGAACCACGAGGCACATAGTTCACAGCTTTCATATGAGTCCAGAGGGTGGAGGAAGGACAAACACAGAGCCATACAGACATACTATCTTCCTGGAACATCAGTCTTACTTTGAGATTTGGGGAAATCAAGCTTGGGTTTTTCTCTTCAAATGCAAGTACATTAGAAAAATTCCTGTTTCTCAGTGTGCGCCTTCAGCTCTGCTCTCAGAAATCAGGACTATTCCCTAGTACCATCAAGGGAAGAATCAGGTTCTGATGAGAAAAGGCAGACATCCCAGCTTTCTGAAGCCATCAGGCAGCATTATATTATTAAAAAAAATTTTAAGGTGTGTATGCATGTGTGTACGTGTATGTGTCTTCTGACAGAGGCCAGAAGAGGATTGTTGGATTCTCTGGAGCTGGAGTTACAAGTGGTTTTGTGGTCTAGAAAATAGTGTTCTTAGTTGCTGAGCTGCCTCTCCAGCCCCTCTTCCATACTCTTCTATAGGGCTCTTGAGTTAGTCTCGGCGCAGAGATCTTAACACACTCTGATCGGTTCACTGCTTCTTCCTAGAACTTATTAGAGAGTAAGTCAGGCTGCTTTTTAAAGCATCGTAAACAGGTCCAAATGTCTTGCCTTCTACAATTTTGTAGACTTTCTCTTGTTTCTTGATCAGGACGATGACCAATCGTTTTTTTCTTGTTTTTTCGAGACAGGGTTTCTCTGTAGCTTTGGAGCCTGTCCTGGAACTAGCTCTTGTAAACCAGGCTGGCCTCAGACTAACAAAGATCCTCCTGCGTCTGCCTCCCCGAGCGCTGGGATAAAAGGCATGCGCCACCACCACCGGCTCAAGGTTTTGACTTTTAGAGATCCAAGTTTCACGCAGCCTAACCTGCCAACGACGACCTTGAATTTAACAGACTGCTGTTTCCACTTCCCAAGGGCTGGGTGGGCTCACCGTTTACCTTGTCAGGCAAAAAGATACAAACTTCAAGTATGGGAAGAACTGGCTTGGAACCGAAGGAGGAAGAGGATGAGGAACAACTACCACCACCAGTGGGAGGCAGTCAGATTTTTGTGCTCAGAAGAGACTAAAACACACCCTGATATATAAACATTTAATCACAACATTTTAAAATCCACATGGAACAGAGCGATTCTGTAAGTTGTTTATTTATACTTTATACTCCAAATTAACTCAGCCATCACCAAATACATCAGAAACAAATTGCCAGGGCCTTGCTTATTTCTTTATGTATGTATGTATATGTATTTATTTATACTCCTAATTAACTCAGCCGTCATCAAACATTGTGTAAATCAAGAAAAGTTTATATATTTTTTAAAACGGATCTGGAGGGTAATTTTTTCCCCTTTATATTCTTTTTCTTTGCTTAATGAATTACAAAGCTTTAATTAAAAGGGTTACTTTAAATTTCAGAAACACAAGTGGCACAGGGGTGCAAAAGGAGGTCAGTAACAGGCCTCCTCCCGGGGTGGGCTGGCATAGTCCTGTGGTCCGGAGGTCGCTCGGAAAAGGCCCCCCCGGCCCACGCCTGCTCGGGGAGGTGCGGGCGGGACCCTCCTTCCTCCATGCCAAGCGCACCAAAATTTAATCACAGTCAAGGAGCAGATAGTGCCCAACTCAGCAGCGAAGCGGCCCTCCCTGACCCGGAAGTGCTCAGCGGCCTCGGAGAGGACGCGCCTGAGCCGGCGCGCGCGCGCGCCCCCGCGGAACTCCCGCCGGCGGCTGGGCTCTCCCGGAGGCGCGCCGGATCGCGGCGGCCGCCAACATGGCCGAGACGAGCGAGGAGGTGGCGGTGCTGGTGCAGAGGGTGGTGAAGGACATCACCAACGCTTTCCGCAGGAACCCGCACATGTGAGTCGCGCGTCCTGCGCCGCCGGGGTCGTCGGGGGCGGGCCGGTGCCGTGCTCTAGTCCACTCGCGGCTGCCTCTCGGGCCCCACGCGCGCTTCCGACAGGCGGAGCGCGGCTGGACTGTCGCGCCGGGCCGGCTGGCCGTTACCAGGACGCGTGGCGGGCCGGTGTTGGGAAGCGACCTCCGACAGCCACGTCGGAGCGTGGAGTTTCCTGCCCTGCCGGGCGCGTCCTGGGAGTTGTGACAACTCTTCTCCCGGCCGCCCTCCGCCTGGGCGCGCTTGCTCCGCGGGCCACCACTGTGGGTCTCCGTGCCTTGCAGGCGGCTCTCGGTGGCATCCCCTGCGAGACTCTAGAGGGTCACCCACCCCATCAGACTCCCCGCAGCCCCCTTTCAGGTTACTGAAGTTGACTGGGGGCTGATTTTGACTTTTCCCCTCACTTGTCACAAAATTGCAAAGCTAGTCGGATGTAACAATTTTTGAAGGTGACCTGGGTGGATCTCTCCTAAAGCTGTTGCAAACTGGATACTTTTTATCAGAAGCGCGTCGGAAGTTATAGACGAGCATCTTTTGACATTCTTACCCAGAACTGTTGCCCTCTCTAAGTTCACTGAAGGACTGACGTATATTCTCCTCCCTTTCCGTTTACTTGTTATTCTCTAGGAAGACACTCTGAAGATTTTATTCTTTATAGCACTCTACCTTCAACGAATGAGAAGAAAACTACGAAAGAGTTACCCTCATCAAGTAGACAGAAGAATCAGAAAGAAGCAAGAGTATAGTCCATTTCCCCTCCCCTCTCTCCTGGGGAAACAAACATGGGAGTCTAGTTTTGTATTATTTTTTCTTTGAGTCTACAATTTATTTTTAATAGTCTTTATCTTTTTTAACTAGAGCACATGGATTGTTTTTAAACACTTCAGCCTCCTTCGCTTTTCCGACTAAATGAAAGGCCAAACCTACATTTTAACAAATTGTCCTTTTTCCTCCAAGGTGGTGTTCATAAAGAATTTAGCCGTCCTCGGATGGCCTGCTCCCTTGTGGCAATTAGGGGCTTAAAACTGTACTTCACTAAAGACAAAAGACTGCTGGCCTTAAAAACATACCTGAGTCTTCTTCCTTTCCTCTTTTGACTATTGGCTTTTTTCAGAATGAATGTTTGGAGTGATTTCCTGGCAGTAGCCATAGTGGCTACTGGGCCTTTTAAAGAATGCTTTGAGGTCTTGTGTGTCAGTCTTTGAGGCCCTTTTTGAGAATTCCAGCCACAGTGCGAAGAGACATCCTTAAAAAAAAAAAAAGTTGGGCAAATGAAAGGTTTATTTTTCATTGTGTTTTTTCTTTTCTTCCAAATGAAATTATAGCAAAGGTTAGAGGTCCAATACAGTAATCACTTCAGTTTCTCATCTTTGAGGTAGACTAAAATTATATTTGGCAAAACTAAGATTAGGCTAATGGGTTAGTCAGGTTGACTCGGTGCCGTATGGAGCAAGTGTCTGTTTTTCTGGATCACATTTACCAGAACTCTTAAAGGGCTCCTTCTTCATATTTTTACTCTGCAGTCTCATTAATATATACTCTATCAAAACTTATCGTTATTTGTAAATATTTGGGTCATTTGAGATAAGAAAGTTTTAGCTAAGTTGGGCACCTGAAATAATGAGTTATGTAAACTGTGAACATTTAAATAGCTCAATTCATTATTTAGCATTTTCAGCAGCTGTATTTCAGTACACATTCGCTACGGTAGAAGTGTCTTCTAGCTATCATCTTTTAAAATGTCTTGTATGTTGGACCTTTCAGAAGTGCCCGTATGTCTTTGCTCAGTCTGGCCTTTTCAGACTCAGAAAAGCTGTTGGTCTACCTTTTCAATAACCGGTGTCTGTCTTTAAGTTAACATCTAATAACAATATTTACAAAAGTTTTTCATTATTTGCCTTTTATTTTCCCCTTTCCTCCAGTGTGAGATAGATTGCTCATTTATTTGTTAACATCTACTTCTGTGAATATATTGATTTTGTTTCTGTAGAATATCTACCTGAAGCAATCAAAGGTTCAATAAGAACTAAGAATGATGTATCTATCAGGTATGGCTTGGTTTTCCCCTGGCTCCGTGTCTTCTCGGTTTGGAGGGCTAATGAGAATTCAAAGCACTGGAGTAACCTCGGTCCCTCCACTCCTGGCCAGAACACTTTGCAAAGTGGAAAACACAATACAGATATTGTTTCGTAGGAGACTGGGAATCCTATTGGGTTCCCTGCAATTAGTGGTTTGACCCAGAAATATTTATTACCATGAGGTATAGACTGTGCCTTAATGTGAAAGACAGCTATCTGCTGTACAGCCTAATTAGGCCATCAGGTTAATAGTCTCTTATTCAGCAAATTGATTTGTTTTATTGAATATCTATGTTGATTTGAGGAGCAGTGGGTACCATATTCACTGTATGAGACAAGAAGTACAAATATAGTTTGCACTGAAGCCAAATTTCTGGTGCGATTGAGCTGTGCATCTGCTATATTAGCCATGTGTAGCTGTGGAACACTTGGAGTGTACTTACTGTGAATGAGAACTGAACTTTTGATTCCAAGCATAATTATACTCATAATAAGTGAGTACTATGTTGTGTACTGTGGTCTTAGTGGACACCTAAGACCTAACCTACATGAACAGTAAATTAACTCTACACCATAGTTCTTAGTGAAGATGTGTTTTGAAAGAGAAGAGACACTGGGTGTGTCCTAAGGGAGGCAGCTTTTAACACGAACGTCAAAGTCTAGCTAGGACTTACTGTATCAGGAGAAACTGGGAGCAATACATTGATCAAAAGCAGCAAGGTGTGATTGAAAAGATTCCGCAGGAACGGGTTATAGAAGTCCTTGACCGTCGGGCCTAAGTGTGGAATTCATGTGTACAGCAAAAGAACACTCCCATTTGACAGGCAAAATGCTAGTCTGGGGATAACTGTACTGGGAGCTGAACATAGATTAGTGCACAGTTGAGAAAGGATTCCTTAATGGAATTTCAGACCAGTCAACACGCACTTATGAAAGGAGACAGAAAGGGTAGGAGTGACATGAACAGTGATGCCCAGAGACTTTATTTGGATTACAAGGTCTCAGAGAGAGACACAAGGAAGGATGCCCATCTCATCAGTAGGGAGGCCCCACAGAAAACTGTTAGGTCAGGGAGTAATATTGAAACACAGTTGAAAGTTGCCTACGGGTGGCAGAATATGAAACTACAGAATATAATGGTCTTATACATGTGTTTTTCACATTTAAATGATAGTGTAGTTATTTTTTAAATTTTGTTTAGAATTTGAGGCCTGGATTTGAACCTTGTCATTTGCTAATTTGATATAGATTAGACTGTCTTATCTATAAAATGAGGCAAAGATTTTTTTACTGTAAATTATTGTGTAAACACAGAATGTGTCATGCAATAAACAATAAATGTCAGTTCCTGTTTCCTAAATAATGTCAGTAATAGTTTCAGTAGTACAGAAAGTAATCTTTAAAATTGGTGAGGAAGCCTATTAGATCTCTGAAATATCTTCAATATCAGTCAAGTTTTAATTATTAATATGCAAGTGTCAGTTTCTGTGGGTATTTTTCTTTTTGGTGATTTTAGAAAGAATTTCAGCATATAAAACAAAAATAGCTATTCAGTAAAGATGTTTATAAGATTTCCTGGATCCGGGCCATTTTCTGTTCAGTTGTGACACTGTACAGAGTTCATGTTTAGTATTGGGGAAATGCATCCTGCTTAGAAGCAGGAAAGTAAGCTGTAGATGACAGCTGTTGTTTCTGCAGCATACAGACAAGAGAAGCTGCTGCACATTGACATCCATGTAATAGGAACCCTGGACTCCATTGACTGTCCACTGTGAAGTGAGACCCCAAACACCTGCAGTGAAGGTGCTGATCCATTCCATGTTGTCCGTGGAGTAGTCCCTCAAGGCACCTACATTGAGCCTTGTTGTACCTGTTTGAGAAGATTAAAACTTTTGCTGCTCCTGACCTCAGTTTCTTCGAAAACTGCTCAATCTGATCGTGCACAGAATATTTACCTGAGCAAATGGTTAAATACAGGACTCTAAGTTTCTAGAAACTTTTTTAAAAATATTTATTATGTATACAACATTCTGCCTCCATGTATGCCCACATGCCAGAGGAGGGCGCCAGACCTCTTTACAGATGGTTGTGAGCCACCATGTGGTTGCTGGAAATTGAACTCGGGACCTTTGGAAGAGCAGGCAATGCTCTTAACCGCTGAGCCATCTCTCCAGCCCCAGTTTCTAGAAACTTAAAATTATGGGGAAAGGAGTTTTGTGGTAGTGAAAGACTCAGGAGCCCCTCATAAAGGCTTTTTCAGGAGGAATAATTGGAAATTATCTGATGCTTATAGTCATTTATAAGCATTTAAAATATCAATTATGTAGGAAATCTTAAATGTTAACGTCTAAGTTTTGTCAAAAGTCTATGTACGATGTGATTTCCCTTTTTTAAAAAAACTTGAGAAGGGCAAAAAGACATATACTCAAACATTATTACAGATTCAGCCTTTTAGTTTTATTTTGCCTGAGTTTTCTACATTTTGGGTATGAAATTGTAATTTAAGATGGAGACCCAGATTCTTAAGATAGCTGCTAGTAATGCCAACTTCCAGTAATCCCCTGAAGCTCAGTGGACCTCTACTGATAAAAGGAGAGATGCAAGAAGAATGAGCTTCCTCCTCTCATTAAAAATGATTTAGTATTCTAAATTGCCTGAAAAATGAGACAGTAATCTAAAGGAATAGAAGCAACCCTAAATTGAAACATTCTGTTGTTCTGAAGCTTATGGACCACATATCTCTAAAGAAAATGCTGTAATTTTTTAGAAGTAACAAAATACTGTTTCTTAGGGTCAGATAACTTGAACAAAGGATTAAATTTTTCTTCTCAGCTCTCTATCGCCCACTAACCAGGAAGCTTGACATTGATGACCTCAGGCTGTTAAATGAATTGATAACCTTTATGTATGCCTAGCACTTCATAGTTTGCCACATTCTTCACCTTTGGTTTTCATAACAAGCAAGAAGATATTATATGTCTATATTTCTGATGAGCGGTCCAGAGGTAAATAACCTAACACATCACACTGGCCATTGGTGGTAGAAGAGAGACTAGTTAGTCAGGGGCTGTTATCAAGGGCTTTTGTCCCTACAGTACTGTGTCTTTTCATTTATTTTTTTTCTTCAAAGGTTTACATCCTTTCAAGTATGGAGATTGCAGGTGTGTGCCTTTGGGGCAGATTGAGGTGGTGCTTGGGGTCAAATCCAGGGCTTCGAGAATGTTGTGCAAGCATTCTACTGGTGTAGGAGGTCCTTCTGTTTATGTGTTGCTTTTATTGGTTAATCAGTAAAGAAGCTGCTTGGCCTGATAGGGCAAAACTTAGGTAGGCAGAGAAGACAGAACTGAATGCTGGGAGGAAGAAAACAGAGTGAGACAGCGGCCATGGAGCTGCCAGAATCAGACATGCTGAATCTTTCCCGGTAAGCCACTGCTATGTGGCAATATACAGATTAATAGAAATGGGTGAAATCAAGATGTGAGAGTTAGCAAATAAGAGGCTAGAGATAATGGGCCAGGCAGTGATTTAATTAATACATTTTCTGTGTGGTTATTTCAGGTGTAAGCTAGCCGGGCGTCCGAGACTAAAAGCAGGGCCCCCACTTTCCTTGCAACACTCTACCTATTGAGCTGCATCTTCAGCCCTGTTCTTTTTTGTGAAGAAGAGATGTGGGACTAGAAAGATGATTCAGTGGTCACACATGTTTGCTGCTCTTTCTTTCAAAAGACAGTTCAGTTACCAACATTCATGTCATATCCAATGGCTCACAACCACCTTTACTCCAGCTCTAGGGGATCTGGTATTTTCTACTTCCTGGGGTACCACCATATGCAATCTTTTTTACAAAATGAATAGGCAAATTCTAAAGATAACTTCTAAAAAAACCTCTCTCTCTCTCTCTCTCTCTCTCTCTCTCTCTCTTTCTCTCTCTCTGTGTGTGTGTGTGTGTGTGTGTGTGTGTGTGTGTGGTGTATGTGGTACTCACATGTGTTTTTGGATGTGGGAGCATAGAAACCAGATAAGAACATTGGTTATTCAGATCTGTCATTTTTCAGCTTATTCTTGTGAAAAAAGGTCTCTCACTGAACCTAGCACTTTATTTTTGGCTAGTATAACTGGCCAGAATTTCTGGCAATTCTCCTGTCTTTGCCTCCAACAGCACTGGATTTCAGTCAACTGTGGCCACAGCTGGGCTGTACATGGGCACTTGGGGATACTAGCTCATCCTCAGGCCTCTAATTCAGGCATTCTACTTTCAGAGCCTTCTTTCCAGCACTCTATTATTGTTAGAGCCAAAATCAGAAGGTGTTTATTAATCAAGTCTCTGTTTTTAGTGCAGATTTTCAAGTTAAGGTGGATTGACTGACCACATTCTGAAATATATTTTGCATTTTGCTATTTTTATCATAAGGATGTTTTTTTTTAAATTCGGCAATATATAGAGGGTAAGTGAGCCAAAAATTTCATAGGCAAACTTACATTTATTAATAATTTGTTTCTGTTCCACATTTATTATTATAGCAAGCAAATATAAACACATTGATTTGAATTCTTAAAATAATTCTATAAAAATACAATTCTTCCTCATTTATTACCTTTGTTTCTCAAGAAAAATTCTTGATGTCTTTCCAAGGGAAATTTAATGTATCTAATACATATTTTAAAGAAATTATATAAAAGGCTTTTTTATTATGTGCATTTTGCTTAGTCCCAATATTCATGGCAGGTAGATCAGTATGTGCAGACCTGCATCATTACTTAGCCGTTACCACGCTGCTGAGCTGTGCTTTCTTTGCCTTCATCAAACCCTTAAATGATTGATTGTTTCCTGTCTAGCTGCAGTGTTGTGCTTAGGATAGGGTAACTGCAGGGTCGGGTAGCAGTATGTGCTTTACAATGCTGAAAGGTGCTTTCAGATTACCATCTAAAGACAAGCTGAACTTTGACCCCTGCCCGTAAGGAGGCTTGCAGTGTACTTTTTCTCTGTACTTCTGCTGTTATCAGCAAACTACATTTTAAAAAATTATTTTTTGTTGCTACAATTCCAGTATATGAGCTTAGTTATTACCCCTCCCCCCAAGACAGGGTTTCTCTGTGTGGTCCTAGCTGTCCTGGAACTTGCTTTGTAGACCAGGCCAGCCTTGAACTCCCAGAGATACACCTGTCTCTGCCTCTGCTCCCTAGTGCTGGGATTAGAGGCATGTGCACTACCACACCCACCTAAAATTAAACTTTTAATTTTTTTGTTATTTTTGTTGTTGTTGTTATTGTTTAGAGAAGGATATCTCTTGTAACAGCTCTGACTGCCCTGAATCTCACTCTGTAGATCAGGCTGGCCTTGAACTCACAGAGATCCACCTGCCTGTGCTTTGGGAATGCTAGAATTAAAGGTGTGTGTCACCACCACCCTCATAGTTATATTTTTAAAAAGAAATGTATGGGATTTTTTAAATACCTTGAGAAATTATAAAAAATATAAAAGTCAGTATTATCTTCAGTTTCTTTTTATATCTTACATATTTAGAGATGAAATTGGCCTGATCCCATGTCCTGAAGCAAGATATAACCGGAGTCCTATAGTCCTGGTCGAGAACAAACTTGGTGTGGAGAGCTGGTGTGTCAAGTTCTTGTTACCGTATGTCCACAACAAGCTCCTTTTGTACAGAACAAGAAAGCAATGGCTGAACAAAGATGGTGAGTATGAGCCTGTCTTCCTCCTGGGCTCTGGTTTTCGCTCTCCTCTGCACTACCTGAGTAGGTGTTCAGCCTCTGTCAAATGAGAAGCTTAGCCTTGATTATTAGTGTTCCTGTTTGTAACCACAAGGATTAAAATGGAAGTGTCTCAGGCAGGATTCAAGCAACCTGCTGCAGCCACAGCAGATTTATGTGTTAGTATCCTGAGGTCATTTGTAAGATTTTATTTAGGATGGCATCCTATTATTAAAAAAAAAAAGTTTGAGCATCACCAAAGAGTTTTCTAGTTCCTATAACTACTTGATTTCTGATCCCTTACCTTAGCATTTTGTGGACAGTGGAACGTTTTTTTCTGTGGCAGTTCGAAGGAGACAGGCTGCTCCTGGTAGCTGAGTGTGAGCCCATCTGTGGCTCTGCTGTTTCACTGAATCCCAGTTGCGATCAGCCCTTCTGGATCTTAGTGCCAAAGTGAGAAAGTGAAAACTCAGAAAGGAAGGAAAGCCTTGGCCTTTGCTTCTCCCGTTGCCCTGCGGCAACTCTTTAGAGTACTGGTAGTCCCTAACAGCCATCTCACCTGGGCTCTTGAGCCAGCATTTCCTCAAGTCCAGCTCTGGCTGCACAAATTCTCCTTAGCCTTTCAGACTCCCCTCGGCTCTCATTTCTGGGCAGTGCTCACCTAAGACCATGTTCTCTTCTGCTTTTGTAAAGCCCTTTCTTCCCCTCGTGCAGCACCATCTGCCGAAGGGCCAGTGCACCTGCCTGGAGGGGGTTTTCAGCAAGACCTTACTTTCTAGACCATTTCAATCAACAGCTCAGTAGTCAATACCAAGGAGCTGCTCTTACCAGAAGCTGCCCTGAGGACCATGGGCAGAAAAGGTGACTAGCACATTTCCTTTAGCTAATAAATTTCAAGTTGAGTGCCAGAAAGCCTCTTTAGGAGACGTGTGCCATCAGCTGTATCATGTCGGAGTTCCCTGAGTTTTTCTCAGTATTGTTCTTAAAAGACTGTCCAAATAGGTCAATAGTACCTTTTCCTGTGTGGACCCTTGTCATAGTTTGAGCTTAAGAGATGTGTTTTCTGTTTTCCCTGTGACTTGTTTCATTTGATTGGTTTTCTGATATGTGTTTCTAATTCACAAGTGCTGTCTAAACTTGGTGTGATGTTAATGGCATGACCTGAGTCTAGGATACACGCTTCAAACAAATGTAAGGGGATTGGCTTTTGTTAGACCTCCTTTTTTGTTCTGTCGCCATGGCATAGGCTTCAGAGAGCCATAGGACTCCAGCAAGTTACGTTTTACCAGATGAAGCTGTATTGTTTTTATCCTGGCGTACAGAAGTGTGACTCGGCCATTGCACACTGGTGGGGCAGAACAAACAACTGTGTCTGTCAGAGAGAAGAAACAGTAGGAATTTAAAGATCAAGTCTAAGTTGTCCTATAGCATTGGACCTTTCCCATTTGTGTACCTGTGCTCAACCAATCTTTGTCTTGTGGCCGTCAAGTCTTCTGTGCATTTCAGGTTCTTGTGGGCACCCTACTGCAGACTATGCCATCTTTTTCACATGACTTCCATCTTTATAGCCCCACAGGACATAATAATCTAAGGCTCAGGTAGGAAAGGGGACATAGTTCAGTGCAGCATCACAGACCACTCAGGTCATATGTAGTATTGTCAGTAAAAGAAGTAAATTGTGCCTTGATGCCTGAAAATGCCAATGTAAAAATATTGTGCCAAATTTATGAACTAAAACACTTAGGATGCAGCTGAATCTTTCTAAGGAAAGGTAAATTCAAACTTTTTAGGAAAATGCCATTTTTTTGAAACTTTTTTTTCTAGAAACAACAGTGTGTATACAAAGGTAGAAAGCTGAAAATTTAGAGAAGTGTTTCAGGTCTAATTGATTTGGCCAGAACCCTGCAATAGAGTCATAACTCATCTTCAAAGGAAGTCAAAGCAGGAAGCTGGAGGCAGAAGCTGAGACAGAGGCCATAGAGGAGTGCTGCTCACTGGCTTGCTCTCCATGGCTTGCTCAACCTTTGCTCAACTCTTTTCCTTCCTTCCTTCCTTCCTTCCTTCCTTTCTTCCATACTTCATTTATTTTCTCATATATTACATCCCAACCAGTTTTCCCTCCCTTCTCTCCCCCAGTCCCTTCCTCCCAGCTCCCCTGTCCCCCAGATCAACTCCTCTTCCTCTGTTTCCATTCAGAAAGGACAGGCATCCCAGGGATAGCAACCAAACCTGGCATATCATGTTGCAATAAGACTGGGCACATTCCCTCATATTAATAGCGTCTTTTCTTATATACCCTGGGACCACCTGCCTAGAGATAGCACTGCCCACAGTGAACAGGTTCCTTTTATGTTAATTACTTCTTAGCAAAGTTCACTACAGATTTTCCCACAGGCAACTCTTAGGGAAGCGTTTTCCCCAATTGACATTCCCTCTTCCCAAATGACTCTAGCTTGTGTCAGAAGGACATAAAATTACCCAGCAAAACAGCATTAAAAGCCCTGAAAGGGCAGAGCTCTATCCAAAGCATTATATATACTTAAGTGTACCCTTCTGCATTTTTTTTCTTCCTTGTTTCTTCTTCTGGCAAGACTTGTATTTCTCAGCTGGGCAAATGCTGGTTGATCCCATTGCAGGCTCTTCTGTAATTCATGGCCTTCATGCCTCTATCACTTCAAACAGCACCTTCCAACATCCCATTTTTTTTCCTATCAAAAATTTTTAAATTTAAAATACAAGTATATCACTTGCGTCTTCCTTTCCTCCCTCCAACCCCTCCTATATTTTCTCCTTCTAATTGCACTACGTCCCCTGCTCAAATTTGATGGTCTCTTCTTATTATTACATATACATGCATATACATATATAAAAGCCTTTTAAGAAGCACTTTTCTGAAATATATCTATCTGCTCATATCTTATGTCATGATTCTCTAAGAGCCAATGCAATATTGAAATTCTTTAGGTGATATTCAAGGCCTTTACCCATCTATTGTATTCTAAAGCCTGATGGCCAGTGTTGCAGCCACTCCATATTTGGCATCAGATTGCAGGTCTTGGCCCCTAGACTGATATTTATCTACAGATCCATTTCATTTGGCTTATATGTTTCAAAACCTGTCCTTAACTAGTTGTATAAGTGTTTAAAAGCAGGATGGAGTTTTGAATTTCTGTTCTTATTTGAAAAATCAGTTGGCCTCAGTTTTAAGTTTCTACATAGCAACAGTAGCCTACAGTTTTCTTAACTGGGCAGGAGGACTGTTGTCTACTGTAACCTCTTCATGCACGTCAGACATGAGAATAGTGTCGCCTGCAAGTGATCACTGTTTTGCTGTGTTTGTGACACTCATTTGACTCCTACAACCATTTGTATTTGTAGTGTTTAATCTTTATTCCAGCCACAATCTACACCTTTCCTTTCTCAGACTTCATCGCCTGATACTCCCTTATTTTGCTTTGTGTTGTGGTCATCAGCCTGGTTGCCAGCATTAGCAAACTGAATTCACACTCATGCCCCAGGAGGCCTTTCTGTCTATTTCAGGAAGCAGTGGATCTCTGCATTCTGTGGGAGTCCTTTGCTTGGGTGACTTTCATAGTGCTCACTCACCATAGACTACTGTAGTTTGTTATTTAAACATTTTTTTTCCTGCTAGACTGGGGGTCACTGAGAACAGGGATTATGGCTCTTACTCAGTACTTTCAAGTACCAAAGTGTCCCTTGTCGGATTAGCAAGAATTCTTAGCTTAGTCCACCACTCAGGGTCTGTATACTCTTTAAATAGCTTTAACTTAAGCTGTTTCTTATATGCTATTGAGTATATTTTAGAAGGAAAGTAGTTTATTATCTTGAATTTATTTAGTTTTAGATGCACAGAAACCATTCTCTGTCAGAGTTGTAAAACCTGGACTATTACTAGAATAGAGTCCAGCTAAGAACGTTGAACCCCTGACTTTGGTAGAGTCTGTATGTACTTTTCTTGTTCCAGTTGGAATTTAGCTACTTCCCTGTGTATGATGTACCCAGTTTAATTTTATGCCTGTGAGATGGTGGTAGATTAGTCATACATTGGAATGTGTGTAGTAAGCATGTATTTACTGGCATATGTTTTGTATCTCAAGAGAGACCTCTTTGATTCCAAGAGTCTTCAGGACATTCAGTAGCTCATGGCTACTGGGGAAGGCATAGAGGAAATGGTCTGCAGTCGGTGACATTTAGAGAGTGAAATCATTACAGTCAACTGTTAGTGACACATGTTTATCTTTAGAGCTTGGTTCATCCTTCCTGTATAGGACAAAGCCTTTGCCAAAAGTGTGCTAGCATCTGCTTTGCTGGGAGACAGACCTGAAAAGCCAGAGCATCAGCAGTCTGAGGTTAAATTACTTAATCTCTTTCTTCCTTTCTTCTTCCTGAAACACTGCTGACTGACACCTCAAGATTTTCTTGTGGATCTGATTCTTGCATTTGTAGCCTAGTTACTTTGTCTTGGTTGGCCCATTCCTGCTTCTTACATTATACCACCCCTCCTCACTTCTTGGCCTAGAGCTTGACTTCTGAATCAGGAAAGATGAGCAGTTTGTGAAGAGGAGAAAACCCGGTTTAATGACAGCTGTCCAGGCTACTGGTGTCTTACATCCCAAAATTCTTATATGCTGCTAGGTATCCCTCTGCACAGTGGTCACTGCTCTGCCTAGATTCCTTCACTTCCTACTAGGTGTCCACTCTTAGCGCTTGTGGAACTGACTAGGATGTGCAAACTTCATAATGAAAATTAACATTCAGAATTTAATGTTCGCCGTATGTCAGATAACCTGACAGTTCATGCTTTTAATCATTTAGCACTTCTGTGAGGTAGTTCTATTGTGAACCTCATTTATAATGAGAAAACACTAACACACAATGTAGAAGGAGACTGCTCTTTCATTTCCCTGCTGCCCAAACCCAAATAATCACAGAAACTATATTAATTACAACACTTTGGTCTATTAGCTCAGGCTTCTTATTAACTAACTCTTACATCTTAAATTAACCCATTTCTATTAATCTGTGTATCACCACGAGGCTGTGGCTTACCAATGGTAAAGTTCTGGTGTCCTCCTTCAGCAACTACAAGTCATCTCCTTGACTCCACCTACTCTCTCCCTCTATATCTCTTCCAGCCTGGCTATATTCTGTCCTGCCATAGGCTGAAGCAACTTCGTTATTAACCAATGGTATTAAAACATATTCACAGCATACAGCGGGGAATCCTACATCATCTCCCATTTTCTGTCTAAATAAAAGGGAAAGTTTTAACTTTAACATAGTAAAATTACATAAAACAGGTGTCAATCAAGAATTACAGTTACAATATTTAATCTATTTGTATTTGGCAAATTAAGGAAAACACTCTATCGTCTATTTTATCTTTGTGAGTCTAAAATTTTATATCTAATTTATCCTTTAGCATAACTAAGGAAAACTATAATTATAGATATCTAGTCTTCAACTCCACCAAAGACTCCATAAGGATATAATATTACCTAAGTAAACAGCAAGTGCATTGTAAGCAACTTCCAAAGTTCTGGAATTGACAGAGACATCACACTTCTTGGACAGTCAACTAAAATCTGTAACATTAGGGCATCCATCTTCAGCCTATAGGTCCATTGTATTCAGCAGATTTTTCCACGAAGCAGGAAATTTGAAGATCTGTTCTGCCTTGTAATGACAAAGTTCATCAGTTGCTTTCTTCTATGTCCTGCAGAATGTCCAGCAGTTTCTTTCATGAAACTGGAACTCTGAAGGACTGTCTTACCTTTAGGCAAGTTCAGCTGTCATTTCTGTGAGTCCTGCATGTCTAATTCTTGTGGAATACCATCAAGCAGTCCAGGCAAGAGGAGTTTCTTGCCCAGATGGCTAGCAAACTCCATAAGGAGCCTCTTCGATGCCCATCATCCTCTTGAAGTAATTGGTGCTTATTGAAATAAGCCTAAGTTCTTAAAACCTTTTAAATGCCATATTCTGTAGGTCTTTGGGGTGCTGAAGATTATCTGTCTAACTGAAATATATCTCTATATATTTAGAAAACCTAACTAATATAATTAAAAGTTTGGTTATTACAGATGACTATTAATTTGTATTTCTTAACTGTATATTGCAGTTTTAAATGAGCTGCACAAACACAGTACCTTAAACAAGAGCAGAAATACATATGCAATGTAGCAAAATTGACCTTAAATTTACATCAATAGATCAATATCCATATCAATGCAAAGTATTCGTATCTGCCTTTAAATAAAAACAAACATTTATAAACAATCATTTTGGGAATTTGGGCATAGTTTCCTCCAAACTGCTTCATGCTGTTCATTGGGTGAAATATTTCAGGGAGGTCTTGTTTCTTCAAACCACATTAGCCTGGAAGGAATTCACAGGTTCTCATCTTCTGTGTACACAAAAGTAGAACCTCTTTTCTAAAGCAACATACCCTTAGACTCAAATTTTGAAGTCAAGATACCTTTATGTTGGTTTAACTTAGCAGCCCCAGAAACAAATGTCTCTCTGCGGTCAAAAAATTCAAAGAAAACACAAAAATATGCATAATCCAGATGCTTTGTGGATTTTCCATCTTTATGTGGCTTATTTTTCCTTACTCCTTTAATCTATGGCTTTTTCTGCTTTAATCGGTATTCTTTTATATTATTTGTAGTATTTTTAAAGACTTTAATTCTTTTTATAACTGCCTTTACTTTTTTTCCTCTCCCTCCTAAGCTTATGTGCATTTTTAAACACATTGTGTCTTGTTTAGAGGTCTTTTATGTTGAATTTGTCCTACTGTGTATCAAAAATCCTTTTTTAACAAGGAGCGTTTTAAGATGGTAAGCAGTGTGGTTGTGGCAGCCCTGGTTGCTGGCTCCACCTCTCTTGGTCTTTCAATATGGCCGAGGTACATTTACTACCAGCTTTGGGACTGCTGGGTAGGAACTGTGTTCACCACCTCAACTCTGGGAAGCACTGTGCAGCACATACACCCTTTTGGTCTGAGTAAAAGCTAAATCTGCCATGCAGCATACTACATGGCCTGGAAATGTCTCCGTGAATGGCGGCAGGAATCCACCATGCTTTCCTTCCTGTGCACAGCCTAACATACACAATCCAGGCGTGGGTGCTGTGCTGCAGGCATGCTCTCAGCTACTTCCCTTCTAACCGCGAGCAGGCATACAAGCACCCAGATGCGAAGTGTGTGGCTGGCCATGCCGGTTAGCCCCAAACATATGGGCACACTGCTCTTTTGTTTCCTTTCTGCCCAGACCTGAATAATCACACAGAAACTATTAATTGCATCACTGTTTGGCCTATTAGCTCAGGATTCTTATTAACTAAGTCTTACATCTTAAATTAACTTATTTCTATTAATCTGTGTATTGCCACAAGGCTATGCCTTACAAGTGGTAAGGTTCTGGCATCTATCTTTTTGAGCACAATGAGACTGATTTACTTGGGTGTTTGTTTTGCCCAGAACTCCCAGGAAGTGGTAAAGCAGGGCTGTGATCCTAGCACCTGCTGTCTCTAGTAAAGGAAGCACTACAGTGATGAGCCTTCTTCCACAGCCTCTCATGGATGTGTGGGGACCAGTATTGAATGTGTGTGTGTTTATTAGCTCTGCTTGTGCTACTGCACAGAGGCTTCTGTCTCACTTTAGGGAGTAGAGGGGGAGAGTTGCATTAAACATACAAACAGATATAACTTTCATTGTATATTTTCTGTACTATAGAAGGACACAGGGACCAAGAGCCAGTTTACTTAGGGAGCTTTTGGGACAATCGCTGACATCAAAGAAACCCACAGCTTCCTTTTCGCATATAACCCTTCCCATGTGCTCTAAGTGTGTTCTGGGGTGGGCACTGGTGACTCTTCTGAGGTTAGGAATAGAGCCAGTTTCAGTGGACAGCAATTGCCTCTTTGTGCTGTACTTGTGGTGTGCTTCATAGCGTCTCAGAGCATGCTGTCTTGACATCACACTCTCCACAGTCTGCTGTACCTTTACCACTGCACTCCTAATCCCCATGGGCACACTAGGAAGAATTAGTCATAGCTTCTTAGGAAGGCCCCGGGTGGTATATGCCCTTTGTTTGCCCTTTCCAGCAAGAAGATAATCTTATGAAGGGTAAGATGAGGTCTTATTAGAATTATATCAGTTCCTTGAATCCTGGGACTATTTAATCCTTGCTCATTGTTGATACTTAGAACATTTGTGGAATAAAGTGAGTAGTGATGTTGAACATTATATTAGTTTCCTTGGCAAACATTAAGTTAGTGCCAAAAGCTATTAAAAAACAAAAAAAGGATATGAATTAGATTGTTTTTTATATCACAGCAAGCTTGAACATAGGAACTTGCAGTAGGAAAAATGTGGGTCAGAAGTCAGTGTGTGTAGTTTCTGCTTTTTAGTTTTTAAATGTTTAAAGTTATCCATAGCAGTAGAATCATAAATGCTGAACAAATGCTAATCTTATGTCGTAACAGAATAGTAGTTAACTGGACCATTTTTAAGTGTATACATGAGATAGCTATGTGTTTTCTCTTATGTTTAAAGTTTATCTTGTATTAAGTACTTAAAATGCTTCATTTATCTCTATAGCCAGACATTTCATTTGCAGTATAATTGATATGATCAAAATGTCAGGTATTAACCTTGTGACATACTGATTGGTTAAAATTCTAGTTCTCCGTACTGGAAAGATGCCTCAGTGGTTAAGAGCACAGACCACTCTTCCACAGGACCTGAGTTTGATTCCCTGAACCCACATGGTGACTCATAACTTTGTAACTCCAGTTCTAGGGTATCTGATGACCAATTCTGGCCTCTGCAGGCACCAGGCACACAAGTGGTGCACAGACGTAATACAGACAAAGCGTCCATATACATAAAATAAAAATAATCTCTAGAAAGCCTGAAAGTTTCATTTTCCTGCTGTAAAGTTGAACAGAAATGGCTTGGCTCACATCTATGAGAATGCATTGAACTAATGTGAACAGAGCATTTAGTATTACACTGCCTCCAGCAGTGCCGCAGAAGGTGTAACCACAACTTCTATATTGTATTCACGTGGTATTTAATACACTGGTGCCATTACCTACTTTAGCAATGTGTCTCTAGATCAGTAATAGCAATTCTAAAATTGTCTCCAATTTTACTAACAAGAAGGTATCCAGATTTCATCAATTTTTAAAAGCAGGTTTATTGAGTTTATTTGTATCCATGTTTGGTGAATATGAATAGCCTAGACTCAATGAAGTAAAAATAGTAAAAATAGTAAAGAAAAATGAAGACTGAAGTATGGTTTATATGGCATTTATAATACATATGATGTATTTTCTGGAAAATAGAACAGTAAGGCTTTAAAAACAATTAGTGTACTTTTATCATTGCTGTTGCTATGTAAAATGTGTAGAAGAAAAGGAATTTTTGCAGTAGAATGTAAATTGGATTATGGGTGATTTTTCTCTCCTATTTTCTGAAAACTTCTTAGTGCTTGAGACATTAGTAGAATGATGAATGGTGATTTCAAAATTATTTTTTAATGCAAATTAGATTACTGTCAGATTTTCTAAAAGAATGGAGGATAAATTATTCTCTATGGGCACACTATAAAGTTGTTAACTTTAAAATAATTGTACAGATCCCAAATAGAAGAAAATCCTGAGGATAACAGCCCCACCACTGCCGCCTTAGGAGAGCATGTTTGTTATTAAAGTTAATACAGCCTGGATACAGGTTGTAACGACAGTGGACAAGGACCCTGGAAGAAAGTAGGCTTTGACAGGTAAAACTGTGTTCCTAACGTGGCTCTCTTTATTTTAGAATTGATAGATGTCACCTGCACCCTGCTACTTCTCAACCCAGACTTCACCACCGCATGGAATGTAAGGTATGCCATGTTCTTCAGTGGTAAAGTGAAGCTTCCCCAGACTTCTGAAGGTGTAGAGTCCTGTGACCTTGTTAGCTACTTGGAAATGAAATATAAACCATAGCATCCAGTGTTTGCTTCTTATACAGATTCTTTATAATATCTCCATGACAGTTCTAACACATGTACTGTACCTTATAACTGTCTTTTATGCAAGCATTTTTCCCTAAAATATAGATTGTCCTGCTGAATTACAATATACTGTTTGATACCTGCTTTGTTTTCTTCTTTTATGTGGGGATTACAGGTATTTTGTATGATTGATTGAACTACTAGGCATTGCTTGAGAGTTGAGCTGCACTGGAGTGAAGGGAGGTACCTGGGGTAAGGAATTAAGGCCCAGGCCTGTGGTCTTCATTTACCCATAACCATTGTGATACTGTGAGACGGCCACCAAAATGTCTGACATTCAGGGCGGAAGAATGATTGCATGTGATTAACTCAGACAAGAACTTCTTTATTGAAGAGCTTTTTGTTTTGCTTTGTTTTGTTTTGTTTTTCAGTTAAATGACCCAAATGTGTATATGAGCTCCAATCAACTAGTATTCATTAGACTAAAACAGGTTCTCTTGAAGGAAAGTAGGGTGTGAATGATAAGGAAAAGTGAAATCTGTTGAATGTTCTATTTTAAAATTTCCACAGGATAGGGCCATACAAATTATAATTCTTTATCACTAGAGATGATTTAAATAATATTTTGCTTAACTTTATGTGTTTTAAACAAGGTCCCATTATACTGAATTTTGTATTTATAATTGATTTTTAAGAATTTTGGTAACTTCCACATAGACATGTTTTTTAGATGTCTATGATTAATAGTGATGATTCTGAAGCTCTGAGCATGTTCCTACACCTCTCCGGACTTCAGTCATCACATCTGTTGAATTAGGATATTTGATTGAGCCATATGAAACTGTCTGGTCCCTAGTAAAAGGAACTGGGCTTACTGGAGAAACGGCTGAGTCAAAGGCCAAGGCAGGAGTCTACAGAAGGGACCTAGAGCATCTGAGAGCGAGAATGTAAGGAAATTAAAATGCAGTCGGAGCTGTTGAAGGGTACAAGGACCATCTGAGAGAACTTCTGGAAGTAGAAACTGGAATAGCATTCAGTCCTCTCTGTTTACCCTGGGAAGATGCGTTCCAAGGCCCTGTGCCTGCAGACCTGCGGAGTAGATAGCATGACACACTGCACAGAGGATTCGCATCCCGAATCATGTAACATGAGATTTCGTCAGACGCCCAGAGCTACTTGTCATTTAAGATTTAGAAATTGTTTCTGGAATTTTCCATTTAAAATGTTCAAACCATGGTTGACTGTTGTCTTAGTTAGGTTTTTATTGCTGCTATAAAACCCCATGACTCAAATCAGGTCAGAGAGGAAAGCATTATTTCAGTTTAGAAGTCTCTCTCAGTCCATCACTGAGGGCAATTAGGGCAAGAACTCAAGGAAGGAGCCTGGAGGCAGGGACTGAAGCACAAGAAATGGAAGAACACCGCTTACTGGCTTGCTTCCCATGGCTTGCTCAGCCTTTCTTACAGGATAGCACAGCCCACAGTAGACTCGGCCCTCCCATAGCAATCATTAGTCAAGGAAAAAAAAAAAACCACAGTCTTGCCCATAGGCCAATTTTATGGTGGCATTTTTCTCAGATAAGATACCTCTTCCCAGATGATCCTAGCTTTTGCCAAGTTGACAAAAACTGACCAGCATGATAATAAATTGTGGCAGTGGTTGATTTTGTGTCTCTGGGACAAACTGGGGATTTGCATATCTATTGAGTTACAGATGGTGTCAGTGTGATGCTGTGAGACACATAACCCCAAGCCCCACCATTCCAGCAGTCCTTCCCTCCCCAGCACCAAGACTGCAGATACCTACTGTGGTGCCTGGTTTTTGTGGTTGTGGGGTTTTTGTTTGTTTGTTTTATTTTAAAACAATCTCTTCTCATTTTACATACCAATACCAGTTTTTACCCTCTGCCCTGTACCTTCCTTCCACCCAACCCCGGAGAGTGGGTAAGGCTTCCCATGTTCCCATGGGGAGTCAACAAATTCTTTGAGGCAGGACCAAGGCCCTCCCTCCTATTTCTAGGCTGTGAGCAAGGTATCCCTCCAAAAAGAATGGGCTTCAGAAACCCAGTTCAAGCACTAGGAGTAAGTCCTGGTCCCATTGCCAGTGTCCCCCATAGACTTCCCCAGCCATACAATAGCCACCCACATTCAGGGGGCCAAGTTTGGTCCTATGTAAGTTCCCCTGCTGTCAGTCTGGAGTTAGTGAGCTCCCATAAGCTCAGGTCAGGTGTTTCTGTGGGTATCCCCATCATGGTCTTCACCCCTTTGCTCACATGATCACTCCTCCCTCTCTCCAGCTGTAGTCTGGGAGCCCAGCCCAGTGCTCTGCTGTGGCACCTGTTTTTATGTGACTTCTGGGGACCTAGCTCAAGCCCTCCTACTTAGGTAGCAAGCTCTTTGCTGGCTGAACTGTTCCCTAAGCCTCTCTTTCTTGTTATCCATTCTTTAATAATTCTTTGTGATTAACCATGAGATTTTATTAAAAGCAATAAAAATGATTGAATAGAAAATTAATGCTTTTTTTTTTCTTTTGTTACAGGAAAGAGCTCATCCTTTCTGGCACTTTAAGTCCAATTAAGGATCTACATCTGGGAAAACTGGCCTTAACTAAGTTTCCTAAGAGTCCAGAGACATGGATTCACAGGTGTGATTGATAGGTAGTTTTGTATCCCTGTTCAGTATTCAAGATCACAGCTTATGAACACTGTTGTGTTTATTCAGAATTTGAATTCTAAAGTCACATTACTTACACTTGATTCTAAGAATGATTGGTTGTTACCTGAGTGTCCATGGTACCAAGTTTGAGTTTTCACATTATAAAACGTGAGCAATAATTATACTTGAGCCATAGAATTTGTAGTTCAGTGCTTCTGAAGAGTGGTATACAAGCCCTACTACAGTGCCCTGTACATAGTAATTGCTCAGTAACGTCTGTTTTTACCCATCTGTAGCAGTTTCGGAAATTGTATTTAGGTGCTTAACTATAATACATGGTCTTGTGTTCCTAGTTTAAAAAAAATTAAATTTTAAAGAAGGCTAAGGGTAATTGAGGTGATTGGTGTATGGGCTAAGTGAAAAACTATTAAAATCATAAATGCAAGGAGCATTTTTAGGGTGAGAACCTGAGGCAGTGAGAATACAGCTCCAAAATGTATTCTGGAAATTCTTATTGGAAAGCAGGCTTGTCTGAGATCTCTCGTAACTCTGCTCACTTGACGAAATGCAGTGGTGTTGCCTGCTGCCGTGGTATCATAGGAAGTTACTCTCAGGAAGGTTGTCCTAATTATGCCTCTAACATTTCTCAATTGTGAACATTGTTGGGGTCCTAGGCGGGCTTAAGGTGTCATGACTGTAACCTTGCTTTTGGCTACTATTATAAGTTGGCTTTTAACAAACCATGGTCAGTTGTATTTTCTTCCTTACCAAAAACTGGCATGGTTTGCCCCAGAAAGCTGCTGGTATTGAGGTGGCTATGGGGGCTGATGCCAGTAGGCTGATAGTAAATACACATCTCAGTACTGATGGTCTGTGATTTAGAAACAAACGTATTTTGTTGTGAAACTTCATTGTTTAAAAATAAAATGAATTTTCATACTCACTTTGTTGTACCTTTGGATTGGAAATTTCTTAGTCTGAAAGTATGTCCATAAAAATACAAACTGATTAGAAATCCTTTCTGTTGCTTTTGACTGAAATGTATGCAAATTATCCATAGACAAAAGGAGAGTCTGTGACTGAGGACATTTAAACCTTGATGCTTCAATGTCTTTTCTTTCCTTCTACATTTTATGCTGTGATATCAAAATTCTGCTTAGTGGAAGCCATCAAAATGAAACTTTGTTTGCAACAAATGTGGATGAGGCATGCACATATAATCTAAGATATGAGTCTGCTCCCTGATGCCATAATCCACGGCCGGCCCTGCGCCTAACCCACCACACACACGCACATAGACTGCTTTCTGTAGATTTCCTGGCCAGGGAGATTTGGGGAGCTAATGACCTCTTTTTGATAGATTTGGAAGTTTTAGAAAAGTTTCTCTTTCCTGTTTGTCATTTTCATGTCCCTTCTGACTCGTACTCCTAAGCTGAATTGTATTCCTGAACACAGTAGTAGCAGGTCCCTTGACATACCCATACCCGAGCTTATACATAACTATTATTTTGCATCTCTGTATGTGGAAACTAAGAACAAGGAAAATGAATTGTTTTCCTCTCTCACTTGTATTCTTTCCACCTCTTTCCCCCATGCCATATTAACAGGCGCTGGGTGCTACAGCAGTTAAGTCAGGAAACTTCCTTGCCTTCTTCTGTGGCCAAAGGCAACTTAGGAACAGTTCCTGCAGAGAGGACACAGCTAATACTACAGGAAGAAATGGAAGTCTGTGGTGAGGCAGCAGGAAGATATCCCAGCAACTATAATGCCTGGTCCCATCGCATCTGGGTTTTACAGAATGTGGCCAAGCTGGATCTCAAGGTAGGACTGTTATTCTTTCCCCATGGCTAACCCTGACAATCCACCCTTTATTTTTTTTTTTTTTTTCTAAACAATCCACCCTTTAGATCTTTGTAGTAACTTATCTCTGAAAGTCATGTTCCAGCAGCCCCAGAGGATCAAGAAAGTTTTGTTTTCCAGAGAAATCCTCATAATTACAGAAGGGTTTACATTCCCCACTGGTGGAGCTTAGGATGCTGCTAAGCGAAATACACTGCTAGACCAAAGGCATGTAGAGCCAACTCATTAAGATAATTAAACTGCTTATAATTGAAATTATTCATGATGTTCTCTAGATACATGTCAATAAGCTGAATCTACAGGCATTCTTTTTATCTTTCACTTTTAGAAAGGAAAGGAGAGAGCAGGGATAGACTTGGCAGAACTGTAACTCACCTTGGGATTGCGAAGGTCCTCCCCAGGCCTATGATGTCAAAATGACAGTAGGATCTGCACATAAGGTCTTTCCATAGGTTCAGCTTGGCTCTCACAGCCTATCTTTTCTTTTCTTTTTTTTTTTCTTTAGAAATGGGGAGGGGGAGTATTTTTCCAGAGTATTTTGAGGCTTAGCCTTCACCCCAGTTGAATCAGTTGGGACATGTAGTGCTCATCCGTCAGAGGGATAGGCTGGTAGCCCCCCAAGTTCCTTTCTCTGTTACAAAATTATCGCCATTTTTCCTTTACTGTTTATGGTATTAGGATTCCATAAGAATATTTGGTGCTGTTCTGAAAGCACCAGGGTTGAGGCAATGAAAAGAGGTGAAGTTGAAGGTCAGCGGGCCCAGTGGTGATTTAAGTTCCCAGAGAGCCTCCTGCAGTTGTGACCCACCAGCAGTGTCCTCTTCTCTTCCCAGTTCCTCTTTCCTCCTTGTGTCCTAGTGAGGAATCCTCCAGGGTAAATACAGTTGTCACTACAGGGGGATTCAAGCCAACTCTTATAAAGAAGTAGACCTCTCCTTTTCCGTTCACACAGCAGAGTTTCGGGGGGAGGTCCCCAAAGGAGTCGGCAGAGCAGAGGCTTAGAGTCAGATTAGCCTGAGCTCCTATTTGAGGCTTACATGGAAAGTAACTCTTTGAGATTTTATTTTTAAAATAAGGGCTCTATTGTCTGCCTTGAGGCCACTATGAGGATTGCCTGAGTTACTATGCTGTGAGTACTGGGTTTCTTTCTCTGTCCTCCCACCAGTAAAAGGGGAAATGAGCAGCTAGTGTGCTTGATTGGCTCTGTGTGGTGCATTCGTGAGAAATGCTTTAACTCGCATTTCGCTAGCATTCCTAGCTGCCGCGCTGGGTCCTCGAGCTTCACCCTTCTGGAGCTCTAGTGGGGAGAGCCACCCACAGTTAGTCAGAAAGTGGTGTAACCCTTGGAGGGTTGGGGGAGCATCCTTTCAAGGCACATCCTCATAGTATCAGAGACACAGGCCAAGGTGAAATTTCTGTTTGAGACCATTTTATGTTAAATATATAGGTAATTGATAAGGTTTTGACTCAGTTGCCTGGATCTCCTTCTGAGCTCACGTCCAGTCGCTCCTCCGAGCTGCCTTTAGGAGGACTTGTGGGCCTTCCCATCACCGACACCATTGCACTAGCATTTCTTCCCCTTTTTCTATTTTCAGTAAAATGTACTGAATTTTTTATTTTTTAATCCTCTTTCTGTTGTTATAAGCCTTTGGGTCCAACTGGAACATGCTCTGTGCCTTGTCTCTGAGAGGAGGTAGTTAACCAAAGCACCAGTTGTGTAGACCAGCTTAGAAATGTGTGTAAGTTTGAGGGTGACGTGCACACTTGTAATCACAGCTACTCAGAAGCTTGGGCAGGAAGAGCACGCATGATGCAGTCTGGGCTACATGGCGAGTTTAAAAGTGATATGGATGGGGACCTTAGTGAAATATCACCTCAAAATAGAAGTGAGTGGGTTAGAGACGAGATAGCTGAGTGGATCAGCACCAGACTCAAGCACTAGTTCGGGGGTGAGGTGGGGGGGGGGGGCTTTTTAAGAGGAAAGTAGATAAAATGGGCTAGCATTATTTCAAGGGTAGAAAGTTGAAAATAGTATCTTAAAGTGCAAGATATCCAGTACTGGCATGAAGATGACACTGAACTTTGTAAGACTTAATAAAAGGCAACGGGATCACATTTAGATTTTAAAGTAGGTAGAGTCATGGTAGTTGTGTTTCTGGACTTCATCTTAAAGATGGTATTTAAAGGTGCTACTCAGTGATCATACAGACCTAATTTTTATTCTAACTGTTCTACCAATTTGCTATGTAGCCGCAAGGAAGCTACCCAGCCTCTCTAACCACATGTCCCTGCCTATGAAAGGAGTATGATGGTAATTCCTCAGCAGCTGCCCTGCGGGTTGTCCGGTGGAGTGATGTACATAGAATAGGAGGATCCACATAGAGTGGTAGTCACCGTGTTCTTCCCTACTACTCAGTAAACACTGCCGTTAAATATGAAAGCATTTATAATTGTCCATCACAAGATGAAGTATTTTAGTCTACTTAAGGCCGGGCAGTGGTGGCGCACGCCTTTAATCCCAGCACTTGGGAGGAAGAGGCAGGCGGATCTCTGTGAGTTCGAGACCAGCCTGAGAGCTAGTTCCAGGACAGGCTCCAAAAAACCACAGAGAAACCCTATCTCAAAAAACCAAAAAATAAATAAATAAATAAATAAATAAATAAATAAATAAATAAAATAATAAAAAATAGTCTACTTAAGATCATACTTTATTAGATTATTTAAGCAAAAAATGTTTACAGTAGGTTATTAGCATAAAAGTAAATATAGTGTAGACTTTACACAGTTTTAGGACGTTGGTGTTTAATGAAACAAAAATACTTTTGAGTGGTTGGACAGAGTCTGGAATGTAATTAATATTTCCCAGGTGTTCATCTGTACACATAGTGTTGTTATGGTTTGGTTTTTTGTTTCTTTGTTTTTAGTAAATAAGCATAATAGTGTTTTGGTCTGAAGAAAGTTAGAGAGTAACAGATGATTGATGGTGGTATGGGATAGAAACATGATGTTTATGTTTTATGTTTCTGTGCTTAAGTAAACACTTGTGTGTTTAATAATTTTAAAAATTATTTTTGAAGGGGAATAGAATAGTATAGATGAACAAAATTTATTGTGACTAGCCAATTAAAAGTTGATTATCATTTAACTGAAAAAAATAGAGATGTACAAATGTCTGATAAAGACACAAAAGACATTTGACATCATTAACAAAGAAAAAATGCACATCATAGCCACGATGAGTGGAACACTGCTTCTTACTAACTAGAATGGTAACAGTAATGGCAGGTAGTAGCAAATGTCTGAGCATAGGAGAAGGGGCCCATAATATGGCTAGTAGAAATGTAATGTAGGGTCATCACTTTGGAAAACAGCCTAACATGAGAAAGAGAGAAAACCAAGGGTTGCTGCATATAGGAGGGGCCAGGTAGAGTTAAAACCAGTAGATTGTATTCTTGGAGGAAAAGAATGGCTATTAATGCTCCCGCCGCCCTGTTATGGAAAATTGGAGGCATAGTCATACTAAATCCTGAGTGAGAACGTTCATTGCCTCAAACTGTTGACTATTCAAATATGAGAAAAGGAAAATCAAAGGTGACGCCTTGATAAAATGCACTGTTGACCATAATAATGTAATGAGATACTGGAATGCTGTGTGATGTAGATGAATCTCAAAACAATTAAAATAATTAGATTCCAAATCATACCATATCATTCCATTGTGCTAGTAAGTTCAGATGGCCAAAGATTATTGAGTGCCTGAGACTAGGAAGTGAATCCCCATTTATGCAGGGGCATGTATGTAAAAGCATTTGAAATTAGCAATAATGTCTACATAGTTCTGAATATACCAAAAATATTGATTTATTTATCAATTTCAAAGCTTGGTTTTGAAGTTGATTAGAAAACACCTAAGAAATTAAACAGACACTATATCATTATATATTTAACTATGTTAAATAATTAAAACATAGAAAATATTTTATTTTAATATATATAAAAATATATAAACTCCAGAAATAAATCTTATATATAAATAATTATGTAAAGGTTCCATTAATAACCATTAAATATGGCATGCCACATAGAAGAAAAGAATCTTTGCTCAGTTTGTGCAACCAGAAAAAGTTGACTTTTTAAAAAATAAATTAGATTTGTTTATATATAAGCTGAATTGTAAATGGATTTTTTTTTAATATGAGACGAAAATAGAGACCTGGGGGTTGGTATGCTAGGTAAAATAAACTATGTAAATATTGTATGATTTCACTTTTATGTGGAATGTAAAAAGCTTGAATTGATTGGAAGCAGAGTAAAATGGCAGTTGGAAAGTTGAGGATGGGATAAAGACAGGAAGTAGCTGGTCACAGTTAGAAAGCTACAGTTAGGGAGAATGAATAAGCCCCAGAGATCTCACACAACACAGTGACCAGAAGTCTGATATCATATGTAGAGTCCGAAGTGTGTGCTCGGTGGTTAAGAGCACTCACTGCTCTAGCAGAGGACTGGAGTTTGGTCCCCACATCCACGTGGTGACTCACAGCTGCCTCTAATACCAGTTCCTGGGGCCCTGACACACTCTTGTGACCTCCCCGTCACAGAGCACACACTTGGTGTGCATACTTACACTCTGACACAAACGTAAGTGCAGACTAGACAACAGCCCCATCCAACAGGTAAACTAAAAATTTCTAAATTTCTAAAACTGATTGGGCATGCACATAGTTGTATGTGTAAGAATGTCACTCTGCTGTGAATAGAAACGAGCATAGCTGTGCACTCGTCCTGAGGAGGGGATGCTGCGCAATGGTGCAGTACTCAGAGGCGCTCTTGCAGAAGGCTCAGCGCTATGGCTGTGACCTGTCAGCTGCCTTTCTTGTTATTGTGACCAGACACCTGATGAGAAGAGACATGTGGGAGGAGGGCTTTACTCATAGTTCTGAGGGCGTGTAGTCCATCATGGAGGAGAAAGCATGGCGGCAGCAGCATCAGGCAGCTGGCCGCATTGTGTCCTCAGTCAGGAAACAGCCAGGTGAATGCTGCTTTTCAGCTCACTTTCATTTTTTTTCTTCATTTTTTTTTTATTAAATTTACTTTTCAGTTTACATACCCATCCCACCTCCCCCTCTTCCCCTTCTCCCGCCCTCCACCTCCCCCTTCCCATCCTCCATCCACTCAGAAGGGGTAAGGCCTTCCTTGGGGAGTCAACAAGGTCTGCGATACCAGCTTGAGGCAGGACCAAGCCCCTCCCTGCTGTCAATGCTGAGCAAGGTATCCCACCATAGGGAGTGGGCTCCAAAAAGCCAGTTCATGCACCTGAGACAAATCCTGGTGCAACTGCCATTCTCTCCCCAACAGATCAAGCCGCATAACTGTCACCCATATTCAGAGGGTCTATTTCGGTGTCATACAGGTTCCCCAGCTGTCAGTCCATAGTCCATGAGCTCCCCCTAGCTCAGGTCAGCTACCTCTGGTTTCTCCCATCATGCTCTTGATCCCCCTTGTTCATATGATCCCTCCTCCCTCTCTCCAACTGAACTTCGGGAGCTCAGCCCAGTGCTTGGCTGTGGGTCACTGCATCTGCTTCCATCAGCTCCTGGATGTAGGTTCTGTGATGACAGTTAGGATAGTCACTAATCTGAATATAGGGGAAGGCCCTTTCAGACACCCTCTCCACTGTTTCTAGGAGTCATAGCTGAGGTCATCCTTGTGAATTCCTGAGAATTTCTCTAACGCCAGGCTTCTCCCTAACCCCATAATGGCTCCCTCTATCAAGGTATCTTGAAAGATATCTCTCATTTCAGCTTGCTTTCTTAGGTCTGGGACCCAACCCACAGGATAGTTCTGCTCACATTCAGGATGGTCTGCCCTTAGTTAAGTCATTACCCACAATGGCAAACCCAGAAGTATATTTCCACACTGGTTGTAAATCCAACTAAGTTAAGTTGGCAATGAAGATTAGCCATTACTAATGTGCTTATACTTTAAGCAGAATAGAATCCGTTCAGAAGTTATCTCCCCGTAGGTTAATATGTGATGTGTTTTTTCTATTCCTCCATATTATTATTGTTCATAATTATAGTGGCGTTTCATTTGTATTTTAATAAATAAAGATTGCCTGAAGATCAGAGAGTAAAACAGCCCCACTGGTCAGCCTTATAGACCAGGCAGTGGTGACACACACCTTTAATCCCAGTAGCCACACTAGTTGCCATACAAAGTAGGCGGTGCACGCCTTTAATCCCAGCCCTAGAGAGGAATATAAAATGGGAGGAAACAGCTCTCAGTCACAGTCTCATTCTGAGATTCCTGGAGGCAGGATCACCATTTCTGACTGTGGTAGAGGTAAGGGCCAGTGGCTGGCTGTTTTGCTTTTCTGACCAGTAGTTGAACCCCAATTTCTCTCTTTGAGTTTTTTGTTAGTCATGTTTCACATAATCATTTTTACCACTGAATAAACTGGGTTTATTTCATCTTGTAACTCTCAGGTCACACTGTCCCCAAGTGCAACAGGGTAGGAAGTCAGGCAGGAACCTGGAGGCAGGAACTGAAGCAGAGGCCATGAGGAGCACTGGTTTACTGCTCATTGCCTACTCACACTGTCTACCACCCAGGACCACCTGCCCAGAGGTGGCACTGCCTCCCATGGGATGGACCCCCACATCAGTCATTAATCAAGACCAGTACCCCACCTGTCTATGGGCCAGTCTTATGGAAGAATTTTCTCAGTTAAGATTCATTCTTCTTAAATGACTCCAGTTTGTGTCACATTGAAAAACCTAGCCAGGGCAATCGCTTGTATAACTGGAGAAAGTTATTAGAAATGTGTGTGACTACTGGCATGTATGTTTTCAGTATTTCATTTTAAACCGGCCAACCCCTCTGTTCTGTAGCCCCGTGGCTGTTTATTTAGTCACCTTTTTATGTGGAAGTTGGAAAAGAATAAGAGCAAGGAAGGTATATTTAAAAAAAGTTTCATTTTGTCAGTACCTGACACTTAAGTCAGTCCTTTGTGTTTTTAAAGTCACTTAAAAGTAATTGCTATATTTGTTTTTAAATCATTGCCTGTATACCCTTTTACTCTAATTTTTTAAGGGAAAAAAACTTAAATCAGAAAATGCTCTGAAGTTCCTTGTTTCTTCTTTGACTTAATATGCACCTTTACACATAGAAAAAAAGGAGAGTAGGGGTTTTGTTTTTTCCTTTAAAAAGCCTCAATCTGGGATATATACTCATGCACATGTGTGAATGTAGAGGCCAGAGGCTGATTTAGGGTCTTTTGGTTGCTTTCCACCACCACCTCCCCCGTCCCCCTCCCTCCCTCCCTCCCTCCCTCTTTCTTTCTTTCTTTCTTTCTTTCTCGCTTTCTCCCATTCTCTCTCTCTCTCTCTCTTTCCCTCTCTCTCTCCCCCCCCCCCCCATGTGTGTTTGTGTGTGCATGTGTGTGTTGTATACATGTGAGTGGACAGATATACAAGCAGTCACGTGTCTTCTCTTGCTCTGAATCTTGGTACCTGGCTACAGGATCTGCCTCTGTACTGGAAACTCACCATTCTGGCTAGCTGGCTGGCCAGTGAGTTCTTGGCATCTTCCTGTTTCTGACCCCCAGTGTTGGGGTTATAGGCATGTGCAGCCATGCCTCACTTTATTCATGGGAACTGGGAATTTGAACTCGGGTCCTCATGTTTGTGGAACCAATGCTTTTGCCATGAAGACATGGACCTAGCCACCTCCTTTTTGAGATAGTCTCTCACTGGACCTGGAACTTACTGAAGTGGCTGGACTAACCAACAAACAAACTTCAGAGATCCTCCAGTCTCCGTCTCCCTAACACAGGGATTGCTGATGTGTGCCCCATACCTAGCTTTTTCTATGGGTCCAGTTCATAATAATAATAATAATAATAACCCTTAAATGATATTATTCAGATACAAGCTCAAGTAGAAATGACTCTGGTTTTGTTCACTCTGAAACCAAATGTTTTTCTTGCAGACTTGCCAGCTATAGCTGTGTAAATAAAGGCAGTGGCAATGATTGTACCCATTAGAAGTTAAGGATCCAGTCCCCAGAGGCTGGTGCAAAAGGACCATGAATTCTAGGCAAGCCTGAACTACATCACCAGACCCTGTCTCAACAAAAGTAAAACAAAAATTAAAAAAGAAAAAGAATTTAAAGGAGACATGACAAAACTTTAAAACGGTGGACTTTGCCCATCCAGACTGGGAATCCCAGTCCATGATACTTTCCACTACCTTCATTCATTCCTGAAGTATTTGCATATCTGCTCTGTTGCTAGCGAGCAGAAGAGAATGGAAACATCAAGTTTGTATCCTGTACAAAGTTATTGTTATATTAAAAATCAAATATCCTTACGATTTAATGATAATGAAAACACATGCAACAGTTCTTTCTGTGAAAATGTATGCGTATTGTGAGGGTTCCAAAAGGAAAGATTTCTTCTGAAAAAGAGAAGGTGTGTGAGACGCGGGGAGAAGATCTCGGTACAGGAAAAATGTTTGCTGGAAGGTAGAGGTCATTTGGTGCATTCTCCCTGCTTTAAAGTTCCCAGCAAATGCTTTTCCTGTACCAAGATCCTCTCCCCCGTCTCACATACGCAGTGGTGCACACTGTCTCTGTTGTTCTCTGCTCACAAGTGCGTGGTCCTTTCCTTGGCTTGTCTGAAAACCGTCTGTAGAAGCCAGGGATGGTGACTCTCACCTGTCATCCCACCACTTAGGAAGCTGAGCAGGAGGATCACTGCTCGTCTGGGGCCAGTCTGGCCTACATAGTGACTTCCAGGAAGTCCAAGTTACAGAGTGAGACCCTGTCTCAAAACAAAACAAAACCCCAACAACTCCCCCGATGGAACATGTCAGGTTGTGATGGCATGTTTCATTGATAGCCACCTGTCCAACCAGTGCCAAATAATGTTGCTTCACAAATCAACTTTGAGCATTCCTTTTGAAGTGCATTAGTTTGTAGTATAATGTTTTAAATACTTTAAAACCTAATTATATCTCATCCACTCCGTACTATCAGTTTGAGGCAAAGGGTGACAATTAAGGCCCTTGGGAAATTCTAGTTTTTGTACATCATAGTTTGTGCTTAGCCCTTAGAACTCAGAAGTGAGAACAAACAGACACAGTCCATGCATTTATGTCATTTCTTGTGGAAAGCATTTAGAATCCCTTACTGGAAGTATAGTGCATATTCGTACGAGTAGGAGGAAAGTTTGAAATGTAATAAGAATCAAAATCACCTCTTAATTGATGTTGTATATTCCCCTTCCCCAATAGTATTACTTATAAATAACTACCCAGAAATTCATTAATTTTGAATTTGGTTTTCTTTGTTGGCCATTCACAGTGTGATAAGGTGAAATGAAAGAATGTAAGTCCTTAAACTCTGTTCTCAAAAAAAAAATTTTCTCACTTTCTAAGAGACAAGGGAAGCTCACATATATTCAGCTTCCAAGGGGACAGCATATGGGACTTTGTATGCAGAGATTGGTGACAGTGAATCGGAGCAAGAGCACAGGGGTGATGCGGAAAGAACACTTTTGTAAACGCTCTTCTCACGTCCCTTTTCTTCCTTCAAGATCCTTCTTGATGAGCTATCTTCTACTAAACACTGGGCATCCATGCACGTTTCAGACCACAGTGGATTTCACTATCGCCAGTTTTTGTTAAAATCTTTGATTAGCCAGACTGCAATGGACACTTCTGCACTGCAGCAAAACTCTTTGAAAGATGAGCCAAAAGATGAAGAAGCAGCAGCTTCAACAGAGGAACCAAGGATAGATCTTACCCAGCTCCTAGAAGAAGAAGTGGAATTCTGCACAGATCTTATTGATTCCTATCCAGGACATGAAACCCTTTGGTGTCATAGGTAAGAGGAGAGAAGAATCCACATCCTATGGATTAACCTATTGATTATTAATTAATCCTATTGATTATTTATGGAGATATTGAGCTTTTACTGTTTCTAATTCATGTTAGAATGAGAACTGAAAACTCAGTATGAGTTGAGTAAATGTTTATTGGGAAGTCTTTACAGCAATACTATTTTCTCACAAACCAGTGGCGAGGATTGAAGCCCTAATCTTTTAAGTCGTTTTTCTCTTCCCCCAGACAGCTCTGGATTATGAACTGGGTGTTAGCTAATACTTTGTACTTTTAAATTATCGACTTCTTTTGCCTAGAAATCTTGATTTTTGTGATGATGTTCTTTCTTCCACCCCATCCCCATCACAGGCGGCATATTTTCTACCTTCAACATCACTTAAGTGGCAGGTGTCCTCTCAACTTGACTCACCTGTCACCTGCAGACTGCTCTGGGGGTACTTTGAATGACTTGCACCTGATTCCAGCAAGCTCTCAACTATCTCAGGCAATGGAAGTAGATGGACTGAATGACTCTAGCAAACAAGGCTATTCCCAGGAAACCAAACGCCTGAAGCGGACCCCAGCTCCAGACTCTCTAGGCCTAGAGATGGAGCACAGGTTTATTGATCAAGTATTATCCACTTGTCGGAATGTAGAGCAAGCCAGGTATGCTAATGCATACAGGAAATGGCTGGTGACTTTAAGTCAGTGAAAGGTGTGGATTCATCCTAAGAAATCCCCTTTTAGTGCAATATTGCTTCCCTTTCTCAACGCCATAGCTGCATGGACTGACTGGCTAACTCTGGATTCGTCATCTACAGCTTAAAGTCTGTAAGAAATGTTTTGTTTTATTTATTTTGCTCAGAGCTGGCATTCCTTTGGGTACAAAATAACTGTATAGTTCCTTCTTGCTAAACAGTGAGTCTTATGTTTTCCTGTTTGATTCCATGACCTTTATTTTAATATTTGGGCTTTTCATTTGGTTCTTGAGATTGGTTCACCTAACTTTACCCACTTCAGTTCAGTTGCTACATAAGCAGTTTCTTTAAAAATTGAAATTTTAAGTTGCAGTTCAGCTTAGGAATATTCATAGATGTGCAAAAGGACTTGCTCTAATTGCAGTTTTGAGAATAAAATGGCTAGATGGATGGATATGTGCAAATGTAAGCCACTTCTTTCTCAAGAATGTTCTCCAGTTACCGACTAAGAGAACCAAAGCCAGGAGTGTTAGGATTTATATAAAAAAAAAATGCTTCCAATGTAATCTATTTTTTAAATGATTATTTAAAAGAAACTAAACTAATTTAAGAGTTTATGTAATTGTAGTACTGGAAAATTATTTTTATTACTAGTTTTGATAGATTGTTTTTACCTCATATTTGGTATATGCCAAAACAGTAAGTCAGCCCTTATAAAATAAATTCTTTTTAAAAAAAACCCAGAAATGCCATTTTTAGTTATTACTACTTTTTTCCTTCTAAAATTACTCAAGAAAAGTGGAAGAAAACTACATATAATTGTAGTCCTGTAAAGATTTCCTTATAAAATTTAAGTTTCTAAGACTATACTGGATATACTGCAGTTTTTGTCAAGTGGCTAGTCGGAGTTTACTGGCAAAATCTAGGGAGGAAGGCTAGTTTTAAGCATTAGTTCAGTTTTTACTTTTAAAGTCAAACAAAACACTTTGATACTAAATTCATCAGGGATAAGTACCAAAGTCCACATTATCGCTATATCTCAATAACAAGGGCTGTGTTTTTCAGGTTGGTGAAGCGGGGGTGGGAATGGGTCGAATACCGTCTCTGTCTCTCTTGCTATATCCACCCCTTGGGATGAGCCGTGATTCCTCTGTGTCCATCCCTTCTCTTTATCTTACCAGTCCATTCCCTGCTTTCCATCACTCACTGGTCCATATTCTTTTATTGTGTGTCTTTTTTTCAGGGATACCCACTGAAGCTATTATCTCTCTTATGTCAGTGAATTTAATACCTAGCTATAAACACAGGAAGTATGAATAAAAGGTGCCCCACTCGTATTCCTTCCTTTTAATGCTTGTCTTGGTTAGGGTTTCTATTGCTATGATGAAACACCACGAGTAAAAGCAACTTGGAGAGGAAAAGGTTTATTTCGCCTACACTTCCAGGTCACAGTCCATCACTGAGAGAATTCAGGGCCGTACTCAAGCAGGGCAGGAACCTATAGGCAGGAGCTGATGCGGAGGCCATGGAGGAGTGCTGCTTACTGACTTAGTCTCCATAGCTTGCTCATTTGGCTTTCTTTTAGCACCCAGGACTGCCAGCCCATAAAGTGGCACCGCTCACAGTGATCTGGGCTCTCTCTCATCAATCACTAATTAAGAAATTCCCCTGTAGGTTTGTTTATGACCTGATCTTATGGAGGCATATTCTCAACTGAGGTTTTCTCTTCTCAGACAACTCTAGCTTGTATCAAATTGACATAGAACTAAGCCAGCACAATGGTGGAAGCTGTCTCATCCCATATATGTGCAAAATGTAAGCAGTGATTACAGAAACAAGCACCGCCATCATGTTTTGTGTGATCTCTTTCACACTTGGTACTGTGTAGTGTAGGTAGAGGGACAGAGGGAAAGGCGAACTGCTCCTGTCTCACTCTGGTGGGCACTTGTACTTGAGTTAGGCACTCTTTATTCAGAGAAAAAATGAATAAACTTTAGCTAGGGCATCATAGTCTTATTGGGTGGCAGACTGCTGAGCTGAGTGAGGAGGCACTTAGGATACTAGAAAAAAAATTCTGCTGGCCCCAGTAGATAGAGCTTACTTTCTTGGGGCAAAGTTATGTTTACTGTTTTATAGTATTTAGATGATAAAAATACTCAACATTGTTAACATAATTCCACAGTTCTATTTACAAAGCATAGTTTGAATCGTCAAATACCTCAAGTTCTACATGGATCTCTATAGGAAAACAATTACATGTTGTTTAACTTCCCTGAGATTGAGTAGAAATGACAGCAGTTATTGCTGCCGACCTGTCTTTACTCGGTATTACCTTTCTCGACAGCATCCTTTTTCGTTTCCGAAGCAATAGGGCTTATATTTCATGTTGTTTGTCAGGCCATGAGCATAGGCTATGCTGTATGAACATCTGCTAACTTTTTATAGTGTTCCATTCCTTTTTATATCTTCTACTCAGCTTCTTGGTCATCTTTGGTGTTAGCTGCCTTCTTGTGTCCTCTAAGGCTCAGCCCACCCCTTCCTGAAGCCGTGGAGTCCTCTAATATACCGTGGTTTCTTCTTCCCAGGAAAGTAGAAAGTAGGTAGTAAAAATGCAGATATCTAAAAGATCCTGTTTCTGTGTGGCTTTTGCTACATTACGTCTGAAATTAGCATTTTCAAGAGTTTGTCACAGGACTTAGGATTTCCCTGTGTTTTCTCTAACTGTTTGGCATTTACCCTCTCTAGCAGGCTACTGTGTCTTTGACCAAATGAACTAATGACATAGAAAGAATCCATATGATGTAGGGCTTGTTTAGTCACATCCTTCTGTACATAATGTTGCTGTTAAAAGGAAAAGTTAGTTTGTTTAGACTGACACATTGAATCTGCTCTCACCACAACCCCACCCTACCTTTTTTAAGGCTGTGTATTTTGGTAATTGTATTTCCAGTTTATATCATATGCCTTGCACATAATAAGGACTTAATAACTGTTTATTAAGTTGACTAATTCACTCTTTGAAGAAGGGAAAGATTGATCATAAATGATGGAATAATGATCAGGAAATTAATGAGTTATAAGTTAGTGATGTGGGCTACCTTCGTTAATACTTAAGGAGAGCTCTCACATGTAAAATTAGTGAGATTTAGATTTGCTGTCTTCATTACCTTGTTTAGGCTTATTAACTCTCAGCCATGAGATGGAGCTCTAGAATTCTCTTAGCTGTTTGTCTACACTAAAAACTCTCAGTGTCAATAAGATCCACTTGGTAAGATTATTGTTTTCTTTCACTAAATGATGTTGAAGAGCAGATCTTGCATACAGAGCCAGGGGCACATTTGAGCAGATGGCATAATGCTTGGATTTAGAGACTTGTTGGTCTGTGTTTGTATGTGAGTCATCCCGATCCCCAACTTGAACTGTGGGCCTTTTAGGTACTCCTGGAACCTGCATGAGCCATTTTTTAAGACTAAGGATTTTATACCCGTTACTATCTCGTATTACTTCTAAAAAAATTATGGGCCAGACATTTCTTACTCTTGGGGCACAGCTCTAACTTAAGCTAAATGCTTCATTAATTCTTTTCCCTTTGTTTTTGCTGGTGCTCAGGCTCACATTTGTTAATCAGTCATAGAGTTAAATGTGTACAGATTATCACCAAAAGCTACTTAGAGTTTCAAATAAGGGCTAAGTAACATACAACGTAGAAGCGAGCTTTTGAGTTTATATGCAGCAGTCTGTAGAAAGCATGTGTGGTAGACATAGTCATTAGCTAATGTTCAGATTCTCTCGGTTCCTGGTGTGTGTGTGTGTGTGTGTGTGTGTGTGTGTGAAGAACTTGTTACAAATTGTCCGTCTTGCAGTTTCTCTTACACAGCACAAGGTGGTGTCTGACATGGGCCAAATGTAACTTAGGCATGGAACCACCACCATACAGGCATCTCAGTTGGCTCCCTAAGTTAGGGGCGATTCAGTTGTAAAATGAAGAATCCTTTTTTTCCCCAGAAAGCTTCTTGGGTTTACTGTTATTTTGCTATTAGAATTTTTTTTTAAATGCTTGATTCAAAAATTTTTGAATATTGTAAAAACCATATCTTTTGTCTTAAATAAAACTGCAAACCCTAGCAATATGTATGCTCCTCCACCCCCAACACACATGGTCTGTAATGAGCTTCTGCTTATTAAAGAAGCATGTGGGGGTATGAGGAAACTTCAGCAAACTCAGTTTCATAGAAACAGTGAGTAAGAAAAAGCCACCCCAAGAATTCCACATATTGTCACATAGTGTCTTTTTAAAAATAACTGTATAATATCTTGAGTGCCTTTCTTACTTCAGTGAGGGTTACAAGGTTATCTTATACTGAACTCGAGAAGATAGGATCTTGTAATTTATATTTCATTAATTGGCAATTTTTGAGTGTCCTACTAAGAATACCAAGACTTAGAATTTGTTCTTTCCCTTTGTCAACTAACATTTGGAGGCTTCGTAACTAGAGGTCCACGTGCACACAATTAAACCTGTGCGCTCTGTGCTGGAAGGGAAGCAGGCCCCACACCAGGGCACCTCACAGCAGGTGGTTGTCCCCAGTGACCCTTTGCCTTATTTGGAAGACCTTTCAATAGCACTTGCTAACACCAAAAGAAAAGTGGGAAATACTAAAATGAAATTTCAAATTTTATGTATTTGTGTGGGGAAGGGGAAGGTAGTACCATCATATTTCATGATAGCAAATAAATTTTCTTTACAGTAAAAATTCCAAAGTGCTTTGCAGAGCATTCTTGAATAATATATCTCTAATTCCGTTGTGTTCATAACTGATGTGGGAACCAATGTCTCCTGTGTGGGTTTAGGGTGTGAGGGGAATTCTCAGGCTCTCAGCTGTGACTTCTGTACCTTCTCAGGCCATCCCTGTTACTACAGACCACCAGAGACTATTGGCTCACAAACCCAGGGCAGTTGATTTGATCTGTGCTTTCCGAACAAGAGCATAGCCATAAAGCTGGCCCTGACATTTAGTAGTTGGTTGTTGTTCCTCAGGGGGTAGAAGATTTCATCAATTAGAACAAAATATTATATTCTGTGGCCAAAAAGAAAATGCAAAATATGCTCAATACATTGCTAGCTATTGAGCGTTAGTATGCAAAAGCTAATCCACGCTGTCTTGCTGCTTGTCCTGGAGCTGTATTGTGAATGTTACCATAAATGTTGCCCACTAAGAGAATTTCTGTGTTATAGTTCCAGTTTGGGGGAAGTGGAGAACATTATATTTTGTTTCAGTTGACTTTCTCAGCCTTTAAAAATCATATTGAGAAAAATAATTGCTGTCGCTTTGCAAATTGACAGCTGTTTTGCTTCCTAAGACTTCTTTTTCTCTGTGTGTGTGAGATGTAAATGCAGACATGTTCAGAATATCCCCTAATGCCTTGCATGTTATGGGAAACTAACCCGTCAGACTGATAAATACTGGAGAAGGAATATTAACGTATCTCTCTCTTAATCATTGTCCTCATTCTTGGTTTTGGGTAAAGTATGCTACTTTGTATGAAAAATACATTATGAAGTTTAAAATATATAAGGCAAGACTGTATAACATTGCAGCCAGAGTTGAGGATCTTTTTAGGAATCTAAGTGTACGTGTGTGAACATACATCTAAAGAGATCTGGAGCCTAGGTCTACATGATTTTATCCCATTAATTTTTATATTTGCTCAAAGTGTTCTTATTTAAGGTAATTTTCCCAATAGACAGCTTGCTCTAGCAAAGTTGGAAACTGACTTAAGTGTCCACTTGCTCTATGTAAATTTTGTGAAAAGTGTTTGATTAGGAGTTTGGTGGTTTTTAAAACACGTTATTCTGCTTTTCTTCCATCTCCTTAAGGAATCAGCCTTTATTTCATCCTAGCGGTCACTCCTCAAAGCACTGCTCATGTTTATAAAGTGATGGATAATACAAATGAGGCTTTAGTGGGATTTGTTTGTTTGTTTTTAATGTGCCATGGGGAAGTATACTAACATCAATTCACACAACTCTCCCCTGGAAGCATTCATTCGTTTATTCCTATATTCAATGTCATGTATTTGAAGCAGGCAGCTTTTTGTTGGTTAAAGAAGTGGTACAGATGAGAAGTACTTAGTCAGCTATTGCTCTGCCATCAGACTAAGAGCTCACCAGGGGGACTGTTGCCATCTCTTCACTGAAGAATACGTTTGTAGAGCCATGTGTTGGACACTGAAAAATGTTATTACATGACATGAATTATTACACTTGCAGTTAGAGACATAATAACCATGGTATGAAGTCAGGAATTATAAAAAGCTGAAGCAGTAGCATGTTGTGCAAGACACATTTAATAAATGTCTTTAAATATTGGTGGCTGAACTCTTAAAGAGAGCTATGGCCACCTTCTACAGCCCCCGTATGTGTCAGCATACCCTGCATTTCCCAGTGGAAGCCCCTTATTTCACCCCAATTCTTAGTTCCTTTCCTGTGTCTTAAAAGTGATAATGGTAAAATAGGAAGTTGGGCTGGGTGACTTCATATAATTTTCTCAGAATATGTTTGACATGAGGAAGAAATTTTTATCAATAATACTGTAGTTTGAGGACCTATTCTGAGTTGACCTGATGCAAAAGATTTAAACAGTCTTGAAACAAATATTCCTACCTGAACTGTGAGGAAGCGAGTGTGTAGTGTAAGTCTAAATGCCTTTGCCTTCAGTGAGCTTGCTGATGCATGACTGTATCACTGGCTGAAGTCAACTCTACTTTTGGTGTATTTTGTTCTAGGAGAGTAATAGAGTGTACACTATACTAGATCACAGTACTGTTTCTGAGCCGGAAACAAATCAAAGATGAGGTGTTAGAAGTACGCCAAATATTTATATACTATTACAAAAACAAAGAGAAAGACTTTAAAAGTACAGCAATGTCTTTTTTTAAACTTGGGGTTTTGTATGCTAGTTAATTGCATAGTTTAACATTATAAAACTGAGGGACTTTCACTGAAGAAAAAGATCTCAGATAGTATATTCTACTATTAGTTTACATTGCTTGTAGATTTTCCAAAAAGAGCGTCCAGTAGACTGCAGTTAACAGTGGACTCTTGACTCATGGTGCAGCGTCAGATCCTGGGCATTAAGTATTGGTTAGGCCAGCTAATTTCTTGGAGACACTGTCTTCACTGATAGTACTTCCTGTGCTATCCCAGTCTGCATGGAAGTTCCTTTCGCTCTTACGTATCCACAGTTTTAAAAGGATTAAATCTCTTGTGAATTCTTTACAGTTAAAATGTATACCCTGGAGGGGAATAAGAATAAATTTTATAAAAAGGTATGTGCAAAGTACACTTGTGGTATTTGGGAGTTTAGTATCCCAGACTGATTAAATTATGCTAAATTCTAAAGCTATCACTTGGACTTTTGGCTAAGATTAAATGTAAATTCTAAGAGTAACATAATCATGTGTTGTTTATGACTGTGGTATTCAATGGAAATGTAATGTGAACCAAAATGAAATTATAATTTTTCTAGTAGCAATGTCTAAGAAGTGTAATTAACTTTAATAAAACTATATCTTATCTAACTTAATCTATTAAAATACTATTTCAGCATATAATCATTATAACAAAACTAAGGAGCTGGCCGCCTCCTTTCTTCACAGTTCAGTGTGCTCTGCCCTGTGTCGGCTCCTGGGGCTCCACGTGTGGCCAGGTGCTGCTGCGCCAGCAGTGCAGAGTTCCTGGGTGCAGCGCACACATCTGTGTAAATTTGGAGGTGACAAGTAGACATGATTTTTCAGTACTTTATGGATGAGTTAGGATATTTAGAAAGATATCTAATGGAGTTTTCCTTCATCTTAATTTAAATTTGCTGTAGAACTTGGATCAACCTGATCAAGTTTGCCAAGCATTTTTTTAAAGAGGAGGAATCGTGTGCCATGTAGAATACCATAGTCACTGTCACGAGTACTGATGGTGCGATTTCAGTCGTCACTAAAGTCCATCCTGTTTCTTACAAATAATAGCTTAGGTCGCATGCTTACTGTGTATCTGTACCTGTTTGTTTTCTATTATTCTTGTTGTATAATGATGTATATTAACCAGCAGCCCTAGGATTCTAATCTATGCAGCCGTCTTCCAGAACGTACTGATGTACTTACTAAATTATGATAAGTGGCAGAGAAATAGGATGAGCCATTTCTTTTTCCATTAGATTTGTTCTTTTAACATGGAACCATGTACCAAACTAGCTGTAAATTACTGTATTTCTGTAGACTATGGAAATGGTGTTGTCTTTGCTGATGTCTAAGTAAACTTTACCTCTCCTAAAACAAGTGCCACGTGTGATTGATCTCTGTGCTTGGCGTCCACTTGCCAAGACATCCAGGCGAAATGCTCTGATTGTGTTAGGGGGGTGACATACAGTCTGAATGAAACCAGGAACTGATTATGTAATACAAATCAAAGAACATTAAAAAAATCAAACTTAGAGAAATTGCATAATTGTCTTTCAAATACATTAACAGTGACAGATTGACTTAGGAAGTCATTATGACCGTATATACTTTATATCTTCAAATGAAGATAAAGTGAGACGTTGCTAGTGTTACACCCTAGCCTGTCTCTGTATACTGTAAGTTATAAATTACTTACACTTGATGGAGAAGCCTATAGATGGACCTAGAAAAGTAGGCAGTGAAGTAAATACTATTTGTACTCAGATTTTAAATATTCCAGAAGGGTGTTTTCTGTTGAAGGGCATTGTTAACAGCAAAGGTTATGTTAGTAATGATATACTATTAATTATGCATATTTTGTATAGGAAACAGGCTGTGGAGGGTTCTTTGTTTTATTTTTGTTTTTTTAATCATTCCAAAGAGCTATAAACTACTTAAAAATGCAGGGTGTTTACTTGTTTTAACTGTTATGATAATGAAACTTATTTTTTGATTTTGGTTTTTTGTTTATTTTTCAAGACAGAATTTCTCTGAGTATCTCTGGCTGCCCTGGAATCTGCTTTGTAGACTAGGCTGGCCTCAAACTCACAGAGATCTTTTCTACCTCTGCCTCCCTGAATGCTAGGATTACCACCACCCAGCTGGAAGGTAACTTCTTAAAGACAGTCTTAACATAGACTAATAGGCACACTGTATGACTATGACAAAATTAGTATTAGAAAGGGTGCTTCTCTGGAAAATCATACTGTTTAACAGCCATGTTTCTCCAAGTGCAAGACTAGCCCTAGTAACAGATGTGGCCAGCACACTGGCCAGCTAAGTTAATGTAAGGGTCCTTGGCCATTGGCCTGAACTTAGCAGATGCACCATTTTCCTCGAACTCACAGACATGGCACTGTGCTATTTTAGAAAGATGCAAGTGGCATAGCACTTGTCTCCTAGGTGCTCCTCCCTAAGGCCAGGCTGGGCATCAGCTTTAAGCAACAGTGTTCTTGCATGAGAGACACCCTATTGCATGTGTTCTGTTTAAGGATAGCAGAAATTGAAAGGCTGCTTGGCCCCTCTTCTAGGCTTTAAAAGAAAGCAAGGATCGGCCTGTGTTTTTCCACAGGATGATTCTTAAGTAATATTAGCTTCTGGGATAGAATCTACGTTTAGTAACACAACACTCATATTCACAGAAAGCTTACATTGTATGCTTCATATTCCTCTCAGAGTAATCACACATGCTGAAAGGTTGACCTCCTGTCTCGAGAGCTAATGGGCTGTCATGTTTTGGTGTTTTGTTAAGTTGCTAGTGATCTCAGTAGACACAATTTGGAAAGACTATTAGAAGGTCATTAAAGAAATGGGGTTGCTAAAGCTTCAATCACCCACTTGTTTTATTTTGTAATTTTACCATCTACTTAGATCCCTGGAGGGAAATAATCTCCAATTCTCTGGACACATCTGATTTGCATCTGTTATTTGATGTAAGTCTTCATTAATTCAGTAATGCCATAGGGAAAAGATTGGAAGCATTCTGTATAACACTTACTAGAGTAGGAAATTACAAAGCCCAGCATCAGGTTGAGGAAATTGCTTTTTCTATATACTTACAAAATAGAATGTATTATTGGACAGGAAGAGTCTCGTAGTTAAACTTTTGGAGTAAACTATAAGCTGTTTATAAAGTAAGATACTCATTTTTTAAACAAATTTAAAAATTTATTTCCAGTCATTAGATTACAGAACTAACTTGCTAAACAAGACTAAAATTATGGCGAGGAAAGGGGGAGTTGTTTTAAGTAGAATAAGAAAGAAATCCAACTTAAACCAGAACACTGATGGAAAAGGTCTTCAGAGTGGCTTAAGAAAAAGGATCAAGGGGGAAAAAAACACCTTCAGAAAGCAACATTGAAATTATCAATGTGCTCAATGAAATTAATAATGTAGACTTATAAAAAAGAAGTTGAGGACTGTAGGTATACATACAAGCAAATGCACCCATGTATGCACATACTTGTGTACACACCCATGCACACACTTCTATTTGTGTATAGCCTTAAGAATAGATGCTGACGTTTAAGAAGAGGGCAAGGAGAAACGGGTCGGAAAGGTGGCTTGATGACAGAACTCACCAAGCTTGATTCCCAGTGTAGGACAATTAGAGCTGCCCAACAGGACCCATGCACGCATGTGCACATGGCCTCCGGCCTTACACACATACATGAATTAGAAGTAAATTTTTAAATTCCTGAAGATAGTAGAAGCCTGAGCAAGCCTGGAACAAGATGAGAAACAGAGAAGTTGCTGGCTGGTTTCTCTGTCCTACGTGTACAGTGATAATGGCTTCCCGGACATACAGATATGTAGATAGCACTTTTCTGATGAAGCAGGAGAACATGCTGAAGAAACTAGGCTACCATACTCAAGATTGAACAACATAGAAACTATTTCTCCAGTGTTTTGCTCTACAGATGCAGTACTATACCAGCTCCAATGGATTTTTTTTTACAAACGTTGGCAATTATATGAATATGTTCACTATCTTGATTGTGGTATTGGTTCTACAAGTATATAAATTTGTAAGGACATATTGACTATGTATTGTGAATATGTTTGGTTCCATTTATTATATATCAGTTGTACCATAAAACGTAAAAACAATATAAATATTCTATTGTAATCGTTTGTTGTAAAGTAGGTACTGCATTAACAACTATGTTTACAAATGTAAATAGCAGGGGCTGGAGAGATGGCTCAGAGGTTAAGAGCATTGACTGCTCTTCCAAAGGTCCTGAGTTCAATTCCCAGCAACCACATGGTGGCTAACAACCATCTATAATGAGATCTGGTGCCCTCTTCTGGTATGCAGGCAGGCATGGAAGGAATGTTGTATACATAATAAATAAATAAATATTAAAAAAACAAATGTAAATAGCAATAAAAAAGATTGAGTATAGCTGTAACAATCTTCTAAGGATTTTATGGTTTATATGTGTGTTTTGCCTGCATGTATGTATGTGTACTGCATGTGTGCGTTATCCCATGGCCGGCACATTTGGAACTGGGATTGCAGATGGTTAAGCCAACTTGTGAATGTTAGGAAGCGAATCTGGCTCCTCTGAAAGAGCAGCAATTACTCTTGGCCATTGACCCATCTTTCCATCCCCCTGCTGAAAGTTTCCCATTAGAGAGAGAGCTCACTGTAAATTCACAATAATTAAACTATGTTGACGTAAAGATACTAGATAGAAAGACTAGTGGAACAAAACAAGAGTCCAGAAATAGCTGTAGACATTCAGTTAGTTTTCTCCTGGCCAAGGCACCGAGTCATTCTATTAGGCAAGTTAAAGGATAACTATTGCTGTGTCCTTATGGAAAGGGGATCTTTAATGACCACCTTGATGAGGACAACGTTAAAGAACCATGATGTGGAACAAACAACCAAGTCCATAAATCATAAAGAAATAAGATGTAGATCTGCTTTTCTGCAAAGACATGCTTCTTCCCACCTTCATGCTGTCCCAGAGCCTAAGAAACTACATGTGAATCTAAAAGCTACTGTACATGGCACATGTATCAGCTACTGCTGCTATGTAAGACACCATGACCAAGACAACGTATGGAAGAGTAGATTTCTGACATAGAGCTCCAGACAGAATGGTCAAGGCTGTTGGCAAGCTCCTCTTAAATCCTGCCAATTCAAAGCCAAATGTCAGGTTGTTTTTTTTTTTGTTTTTTTTTTTTTGATAGTTTTGTTTATTTCGTTTTGTTGTTTTGGGTTTTGGTTTGGTTTGGTTTGGCTGATATGAACTCCTTTTGTAGTCCAGGCTGGTGGGCCAGACCATGCCTAGTATTTATTTAACAAATTTTTTTTAATGAAACCAAAACCTAAATCAGTAATTCCAATAACAATTCTTTTCAATCCAATGTTTTGACACAATACTACTAAAACGGTATGATTCTTGCATGCTGGAGAATGATAATAAGGAAATATTAAATGTCATTGTTTTCTGTAACTGTTGCTTCTATAAGAGCAGAGAACTGTGTGTACAACAAAAGGCACGGGGAACTCCATGTTGAGCTGTGGTGCTTGAGGCAACACTGGTCGACTCTATGTGATGTGACGACCCCTGCAGTGCAAAGCTGTGATCCAGACCCGAGTCCAGGGGCGTTGTGTGATGGACCCAGCCAGGCTTTGCGGGAACACAGGACTCATTACTTGTTTAGTTTGATTTGACTGTTGCATTTTCGGAAGCCTCTCACTGTTGTGACTCCCATAGTTACGTAAACCCATAAGGGGTTGACACCCGTGGTGTAAGAGAGGCCACATACAAAGACCAACTTTCACATTTTAGGGATTTAAATGAATCACCTGGACACTACTAAAGTGGAGATCCATAACCCTAAAATCACAGACAACCAAAGTAAAACCAGACCAAAGGGATTGTATACAGCTAAAGTGCTTGTCAGCAAAAGAACCAATGGAGTGAGGATACTGACAACAGAATGGAAATGTTACACAGCTCTCACCACCAGGATGATGCTATTACAAAGGAGAGTCTTTGAGAGATAATTGTCAAGTGTGTTCTCCAGTTCCGCTCTCATAATCCAGACAGTGCTAGTACGAACAGGCGTGAGGGAATCTGGTGGTTTTATACCATATGAAAGCTTAGCAACAAGGTACCATCTTTGAAACAGAAAGGGACTCTTTGCCACAGAATCTGTCAGTGTCTTCAAAGTTATGGAGAATATTTTGCATTATTTGTAAACTGCCTACTTTGTGTCTGAGTGGAGTAAGACAAAATATTTGGAAATCATGTAACTGATAATGGGTTGACTAAGTCAACTCATAGCAGGAATTAAAATAATCCAATTAAAACTGGGCAAATAATCTAAATAGGTATTTCTCAAAGACATTTAAATGGCCAATAGGTAAATGCTGAAGTGTTTAGCATTGCAAAGAATAGTTATCAATGCGTGCTAAAACCACAATGCTTTGTGCTTGCTTCAACGGCACATATACTAAAGTTGGAATGATAACAGAGATTAGCATGGCCTCTGTGTGAAGATGGCATGCAAATTCATAAAGTGTTTCATATTTTAATGGATTTTTCCATTAAATAATTAACTAACATTTTAAAAAACACTGTCTCTCACCTTACAAATATTAGAGTGGCTGTTTCAGAAAGAAAAGAAATGTTAAACACATAAAGAAAAGAGAACGTTTATATACTATTGGGGGTATAATTAAGTACAGCCTGTATGGAAATAGTATGGAGGTTCCTTAAAAGGAAAATGCAGAATTAATGAAAGGCCCATTAATCTCACTTGTAGCCAGAAGATATGAAATAGGCATGTCTGAGAGATCTATCTTCACCCCTATGTTTAAGGCAACAAGATCTATAATATCCAAGTGATGGAATCAACCTATGGCAAAAATGGGTGGATGGATGAAGAAAGTAGGGTATAAACACACAATTGAATACATTTAGCCTTTACAAAAGAAAGAAATCCTTTGTTCACAACAGCCGGAATGAGTCTAAAGTGAAATAAGGAAGGCACAGAAAGACAAGCTTTATGATTTAACTGGTATATGAGTTACCTTTCACATTGCTGCAGGAAAATGCCCAACAAAATCAGCTTTAAGGAATAAAAGGTCAATTTAGTCTCATGGGTACAGAATAGTCCATCATGGTGTGTAAAGGGTAGTGGCAGGAGCCTGAGACAATGATTGTCATTGCATGTGTAGCCATGAAACAGAATAACGAAGTCTACTGCCCAGCTCACTTTCTTACTTTCTCCACTTTGTTCAGTTGAAGACCCCAGCCCATTAAGTCCACAATTAAGGTAGCCTTCCAACCTTAGTTAAAATGACATAAATAATCCCTCACAGATGTAGTAATAAGGGCGGCGGGGCTGCGTCCCCAGCACCCCAGCCGCCCGCACAGCTAGCTTATGCCCGAAATAACAACATACAAACTGTATTCATTTAATTACTGCTTGGCCCATTTCTATCTAGCCTCTTCTAAGCTAATTCTCACATATTAATTTAGCCCATTTCTAATCATCTGTGTTGCGCCCCTAGGTGCGCTTACCGGGAAGATTCTAGCCTATGTCCATCCTGGGTCGGAGCTTCATAGCGTGCGTCTGCCCAGGAGCCAGGAGCATGGCGTCTCTCTCAGGCGTCTGCTCCAGAGAGGAGAGCTGTCGAGTCTGAGCTCACTTCCTCTTCCTCCCAGCGTCCTGTTCTGCCTACTCCTCCCACCTATCTTCCAACCAATAAAATGGGCCAAGGCAGTTCCTTTATTAGCCAATGACCTTCCTCCATCATTTCCCCTTTTTCGGTTTAAACAACAACAACAAAAAAAAAGGCTTTAACTTTAACATAGCAAAATTACATATAACAAAACAGTTATCAAGTAAAAGTTACAGTAATCTTTATCATAACTAAGGAAAACTATAACTAACTATTCTTAACTCCATCAAAGACTCCAGAAAGATACAATACTACCTAAGCAAACAGGAAAAAAGCAACTTTTAAAACTCTAGAAATGACAGAGACATCTCGCTGCCTGGACAGTCACCCAAAGTTCCTCTGTACCGTTGGGGCATCCATCTTCAGCCTTCAGGCCCATGCTATCCAGCAGACATTTCCATAAAGCAGGAAAATTCAAAGTCAGTTCAGTCACTATCTGTTGTGTCCTGCAGAATGTCTCACAGACTCTTTCAAAATGAATGAGGAACCCCGAAAGATCATCTCACCTTAGGCAAGTTCAATAGTCCTCTCTCTGCGGGTTCTCTGTGTCCAGTTTATGCAATAGTCCAGGCAAGAGCAGTTTTTTGCCCAAATGACTATCAAACTCCATAAGGTGCCTCTTCGATGCCCATCTTCCTCTTGAAGTAGATTGATGCTGCCAGGAGCAGAGTGTCTCATTCTCATGAAAAGTCCTCAGTTATTAAAACATTAAATGTCCTATTCTGTAATCTTTGAAAGACATGAAGAATGTCTATCTAAAATATATCTCTATATATCTAGAAAATCTAATTAACATGACTACAAGCTTTACTATTATCAATGATTATCCATTAACAACCTATATTTCTTAATTATACAGTACATATTTAAATGAACTACACAATCACAATACCTTAATCAAAATCAGAAACACTTATACATATAACAAAATTGACCTTAAATCTCTATCAATAAAGCAAAATCTATACTAATGTAAATTATTCATATCTATATCATATCCCCCTTTAAATGTAAAAGGACGTTTATAAACCATATTTGGGAACATGGGCGCAGTTTTTTCTCTCCAAACTGCTTCCTGCTGAATGGGGGCATCGTTAATTAGGTCTTTCATGGTATAACCTGTGTACTAGTTTCATCTCAGTTGGCAGTTGAGCGAAGCAATTTTCTGAAGATGTTCACTGCAACCCTTCAGGAGGGTGTGGTCCATCATACCAAATCAGAATAGAAGAAATGAACAGCATCTCATCCTCTGTGAAAACAAAATAAGAAACTCCTTTCCAAAGCATCATGTCCTTAGATCCAAATTTCAAAGTCAAGGCATCAAAATATCTATGTTGGATTAGTTCAGCAGCATTTATAAATAAATATCTTTTAGCATCTGTTGCTCCTTCCTCAGCATTTAAATAATTCAAAGAGAGCATAATAGCATACAGTATCAAAATTCTCTGTGTATTTTCCATCTTATTACACCTTTGTTTTAACCTCTATTTTGTTTATTTTTACTTTTAACTCTTTGCTTTTTGAGACAGGTTCTCTGTATCTTTGACCTGAAGTAACTCTGTAGACCAGGCTGTCTTTGGACTCTCAGAGATCCGCCTGTCTCTGCCTTCCAGGCATTGGGATTAAAGGCGTGTGCCACCACACCTTGAAGTCACAGAGGTCAATCTCCCTCTGCCTTCCAAGTGTTGGGATTAAAGGTGTGTACTACCACACACAACAACTCTCTTCCTTTTTTTTTTTACTTTAAGAACTTCAACTTTTAGTCTGCATATATTTTTTTTTAAATAATTTTTTTATTAAGAAAAGAAGAAAAAAAAACATAAACAAAAAACAAGTTTCCACCTCCTCCCAGCCTCCCATTTCCCTCCCCCTCCTCCCACCCTTCTCCCCCTCCTCCCACCCTTCTACCCCTCCCCCCACTCCTCTCCCCCTCCCTCTCCAGTCCACAAAGCAGTCCAGGTTCCCTGCCCTGTGGTAAGTCCTAGGTCCTCCCCCCTCCGTCCATATCTAGGAAGGTGAACATCCAAACTGGCTAGGCTTCCACAAAGCCAGCACATTAAGTAGGATCAAAGCCCCGTGCCATTGTCCTTGGCGTCTCATCAGCCCTCATTGTTCGCCATGTTCAGAGAGTCCGGTTTTATCCCATGCTTTTTCGGTCACAGTCCAGCTGGCCTTGGTGAGCTCCCAGTAGATCAGCCCCACTGTCTCAGTGGGTGGGTGCACGCCTCGTGGTCCCGACTTCTTTGCTCATGTTCTCCCTCCTTCTGCTCCTCATTGGGACCTTGGGAGCTCAGTCCAGTGCTCCAGTGTTAACCCAATTAAAAAATGGGGCACTGAACTGAACAGAGAATTCTCAGCAGAGGAAGTTCAAATGGCCAAAAGACACTTAAAGTCGTGCTCAACTTCCTTAGCAATCAGGGAAATGCAAATCAAAACAACTTTGAGATATCATCTTACACCTGTCAGAATGGCTAAAGTCAAAAACACCAAGGATAACCTTTGCTGGAGAGGCTGTGGAGGAACGGGTACCCTCATCCATTGCTGGTGGGAATGCCATCTTGTGCAACCACTGTGGAAGTCAGTGTTTCGGTTTCTCAGGAAATTCGGGATCAACTTACCCCTGGACCCAGCAATACCACTCCTGGGAATATACCCAAGAGATGCTCTATCATATGACAAAAGCATTTGTTCAACTATGTTCATAGCAGTATTATTTGTAATAGCCAGAACCTGGAAACAACCTAGATGCCCTTCAATGGAAGAATGGATGAAGAAAGTATGGAATATATACACGCTAGAGTACTACGCTGCGGTAAAAAACAATGACTTCTCGAATTTTGCAGGCAAATGGATGGAAATAGAAAACACTATCCTGAGTGAGGTGTCCCAGACCCAAAAAGATGAACATGGGATGTACTCGCTCATAATTGGTTTCTAGCCATAAATTAGCGCCACGGAGTCTACAATAGGTGAACCTAAAGAAGCTAAGTAAGAAGGTGAACCCAAGGAAAAACATATAGTTATCCTCTTGGCTAAGGGAAGTAGACCCAATTGCCGGGGAGAAAATTAGGAGCTTGGGGGTGGGGTGGGATGGGGGTAAGGGGAGATGGGGAGAGAAAAGGTAGAAGGGAAGGAGGGGGGATTTGGGGAATCAGGAGAATTGGGATAAAGGAAAGGTGGATAGGGGAGCACGGAACCACAATTCTTAGTTAAGGGAACCACTTTAGGGTGAGCAAGAGATTTGACCCTAGAGGGGCTCCCAAGTGCCCAACATGAGGTTCCCAGTTAGTTCCTTGGGTAGCTGAGGATTGGGAACCTGAAATGACCCTATCCGAGAGCAATACTGACGAATATCTTGCATATCATCATAGAACCTTCATCTGGTGATGGATAGTCTGCATATATTTTTAACACACTGTAAACCATTTAAAAATTTTCTTTGTCTTTGACGCTCTCTTTACTGTATCTCTCTCTGTTTTTCTGACCACATGAGTCTTTAATTTACTAAGCAATATCAGTAGGATTAAAGGCGTGGCTTTGCCGGCTGGATCCAGTCCATTCCTTAGCTTTCCAGCCTCATGGCGGATATACAGGCTGTAGCCATGTTTACTGCAACAACTGTATGGCATTTCAAGGTCCCTGCCAGCAAGTGAGCTACAACAAACAACACTCAAGTCCTCTCTCGGTAGCCGGCCCTCCTGCCTCAAACAGTCAAGAGTTTGCCCTGGCAGGATGGCCCAGAAAGCTGGCATTTTTAAACGGCGCAGCTTTTTTCCTGCTACGGCTGAAAACCGAAAAGCATGCATTCAGCTTTTCGTCAACACCGTTTAAGTGTTTCGTGGCAGGA